ATTACCCACAGGAAGGTGCCTGAGCCTGAAATCATTGCTTTGCCTTCATCCTACCCTCTTCCTGCAAACACCTTTCATTTTCTACAGCTTTTTGGAGTCCCTTTCCACTTGCTAGATGAGCTGCTGCCGATTCAAACACTGTTTAATAAGGCCAATTAGATCTTTAAAATTAACTGCACTGAAATTTTGTTATTTCAAGGTTCCGGGGGGCTCTTGGCAGAGGTCACACAAGAACATGGAGACCCCGGGTCTCTGGGCCATGCCTCCTTCTCCAGACCCATCCTTTCCAACCCTTTGTCAAGAGGAGTTTGTCTTGCCAGGAGCTGTTACCTCTTGGAATTCATGTTCTCCACAAGAGATTACTCTGTATTCAAAGAATAGCAGCTACACAGGAGATAATTAAAATTTTAAGAAAAGTCTCCCTGTCTCCGTCTTCAGACCTTTCACAATGCTTCCACCTTATGGTTAGGTGTGAAAATGGAAAAGCAGGAGACCTGATATGCCCCGATTCTCATCCCGCCTCAATGGCCCAGGACACCATGGTTTGAAAGGTCCAAGTCCTGGTAGACTTATGTCCTTCTGCTTACTGTGTCCTATTATGGAGTGGGGAGGAGGAAGAACAGGGGGGCGGGGAGAGACTGGTTCTCTTCTTATCGGGCAAAAAATCCAGTAGGGTTAGGGTCCTGCCCTCATGACTTCATTTAACCAGAACTACCTCCTAAAATCCCTGTCTCCAGATTCACTTCCCTGGGGGGTAGGGATTCAACCTATGAATTTGGTGGGAGGGGAGGGGCGGTCCATAGCAGATGGATTCCATTATTTCCCAGTAAAGCAGCCATGGAAAGCAGCAGTGGGCGCCTTCCCTAACCTAGGACAGCAAGTTCTGTCTGAGAAGCTACTTCCTACCCTTTGTGGAGAAGCAGCTGGTGTATCTAGAAGGCTTAGGCCCTGTGGCTGTTGAGGGCAGTTCCATGGCATCTCTGGCTCATGTTCTCTTCCTGGGCAGTGTGCTTTGGCCATCCCCACTGTTCTGTGGACATAACCGCAAGCTCTGGCCCCGGGACTGCCTTCGGCCCAGTTCCTAAGAAGCAGAGCCTGAGACGGATTCTTGCGCGAGCAATTCATGGAAGAAATGCTCACGGTCCCTGCATCAAGACAGGTGTTGGGGTGCAGGATAGGTTGGAGGTGGAAGGGAGGCAGAAGCCAGTTTTAGGGGCAGTCTGGTCTTCAAAAAAAAGGTGGTTGTGCAGGGTCTTTGTGATGATCAGCAGAGGGGTTTCCTCATCTTCCCTGGTCACTGCTCAGGAGCAAGCAGAGCATTGTTGAGTGAGGCTGCTTGCCACTCACCCAGGGTCTCAGCATGCAAGGAGAGACACACCCACCACCAAGTCTGTTATCTCCAGTGGGTGCCACACCCACTCCCAACCTCGGACCCAGACCAGCTCTCGGTGCTTTTCCCAAGACACACAGCATTTTTCTGTTCTTGACTAAGGCAGGCAGGACAGAGCAGGAAGCCCCTCTTTAGGTCTCTGTCATAAAATCATGTCTAGGGGCTTTCCTGCTATGAAATTCTCCATTTCCATTTCAGTCGAGGCTCTCTGCTTTCAAGGAAGAGAAACTAGTAAAAAAGAGAGGGAGCACTGCTGCCTTGGAGAACTGATGCAGAGCCCCAGGGGTGGCATGGGGCTGTGGGACGCAGGGAGACACCTCCCTGCGCCTGGTCTTTCCCAGGGAATTTCCTGGGCCCACCTATTCCTGCTCCCGAGCACAGACGGCTCGTCTGCAATCCTGGTCTCCTTGACTATGCCTTGGCTTCACGTGGCTGCTCAGATCCTGAGTTCCAGCCCCCTACGCTCCAGCCCCCGGAAGAGGAATTTGGCCCAGCTTCAGTCAGTGTCCATTGCTGGTCCAAAGAGAAAGTGACCAGATAGGTCCAGTCATGTGGTGGAAACGTGGCCACCCAGGCCCAGGATATTAGTAGCGGGAAAGAAAAGTGGACTTGGGACTGAAGATGCGAACAGTAGCTAACAATTACACCACTGAGGTTTAAAAGAGTTGCAATAAATGAAATATGGGGAAGAGGCACACACGGCCCAAGCACTGCGGAAGTGATTGTGCTTACTAGTTACTTCCCTCCAAGCCTGCCACCCTACTGTATAAATGGATTTATCAGTGAACACATGTTCATATCTATAGCTTTTTCTTGCACAGATAGTACATGCAATAACTAGAAAGTGCAAGATATAGAAAATACATTTTTAAAAAAACGCAAAGGCACTGCCAGAGATAATACTATTAGTATTTTCACACAGTTTGTTAAATATTTACAGAGCACCTGATATATGAAAGTCTGCGCTTTTGTTGAAGATCTAATGATGAGCAAAAAACAGATATAGTGGGGGGGCCTCCCCGGTGGCGCAGGGGTTGAGCGCTGGGTTGCGAAGCCGCCTGCAGCCTCTGCAGCACTGGTTCAATCCCTGGCTGCTCCCCGGCCTCCGGAGGAGGGTCCCACATGGCGCACAGACCTCTCCTGCCGCCCGCTGCTCCCCTCAGCAGTGTACCTCGGTCCTTCTGCCTGCTCTGCTCCCCGCTCTGGCTCTGGTGAATTCTCTCACCCTCCCGCGCTTCTCACTGTACCCAGTGCTTGTATAAACAAACAAACAAATAAATAAATAATACATGCCTCTTAAAAAAAAAAAAAAACCAGACATAGCTCTTGTTTATAGTCCTGCAGGAGGGAGATGCACTTTTATCAGGTAATGACACAAATGGACTTGTTAGAGGGAACCTAGTGGTGAAGGTCTGTCATCTGCAGGTTGTGAGGAGCTGACAACGAGATGAGAATTGACTCAAAGGAACTAACTCAGAGCAGTCAGGGCCAGAGAATATGCCCAACAGCGCAGAAAATCAAAGCTCTGCAGTGGAAGGAGACAGTGGGAGTAGAAGCGAGTAAGAACCCCCAACGCCGCTGCAGCGTGTGCTCCATAAAGCTGCTGGGCTAGCGAGGCCGACCTAGCACAGCTGGGTATCCTCAGTCTAGAAATTATATTCCACGATTCCTCAACAAATACTGCATAGAGGAGCCAGGGAGACTTTTCATTCTCATAGATCTGATTAATACCATATACTGCTTTTATTGTTTTTTTTTTTTGACAATAAAATACAACAATTTAACCTTCTATTGCTGGAAATAGATTGTTTTCAACTTGCACAGTTCAGTGCTGTGAGGAGGGGAATTGCTGGCTCTACACATTTGTGAACACATTTCTTTCTTTTTTTTTAAAGATTTATTTACGCATACAAGAACTGGGGTACAGATCAGAGGTTGGGGGGGGGTGAGAGAATTCACCAGAGACAGAGTGGGGAGCAGAACAGGCAGATCTACTGAAATATACTGCTGAGGGGAGCAGCAGGCAAGACAGGAGAGGTCTGCTGCCCCATGTGGGTAGCTCCCTGACCAGGGATCGTACTCATGCTGCAGTGGCTGCAGACAGCTTCATAGGCTGCATCCTAATCCCCTGTGCCACCAGGGAGGCCCTGTGAACACATTTAAATCACAATGTTGTCTGGAAAATTAGCATACTCAATTGTCAAGATTTGACGCTATGGTTTATCTTTTGAGGTTAATACCCTTGTTCACATCTGAAGACATTCCTGGTAACTTTCAGAATCTGCTTCTTTATTTTCTTCAGTGAAGAAGTCACTTCAATTTTTGATCTCCACAGGCCCCTTCCACACATTCAGGTCACTCAGAACTCCCAACACAATCTCTTTAATGACAGTTCTAAAAGTCTGATTGTCCTACCCCCAGGGCTCCAGAGGAGAGAAAAGGCTTTCTAATATGCCTCTGAGGTAGAATAGGAATAGAGCACAGGAGATGGTCGTTTCCCCTATCCAAGAACTCTGAAAACCACCTGTGCACACTGCAGCTGACTCAGACCCTATTAGTTTGGACCCTTTAGCTCCCCCTGGGCACCAGTGATTGTACAACTTCTCCATCTTACTTAACTAAAGGGGGTGCTATGGCCCAGTGGTTTTGTTAAACAAAACTGGTCAAAACCCATTCAAGACCCCATCCGTGAACCCCTGCCCCCTCAATTAAGCAATATTTGCTTGCTTAGCATAAATCTGTGTGTGTACATACTCTAGACCCAAGGCTCCAATCTGCTTACACTCTCCAGGGTGTTTACTGTCGTTTGCAACGAAAGCTTCATTTTTTTTTTTTAAATTGTGGGCTTAACTTATTTTTATTAAGATATATTTATTTGTTTGTTTGTTTGTTTGTACATAGAAGCACAGGGGTACAGTCAGAAGCGCGGGAGGGTGAGAGAATTCACCAGAGCCAGAGCGGGGAGCAGAGCAGGCAGAAGGACCGTAGTTCACTGCTGAAGGGAGCAGCGGGCGGCAGGAGAGGTCTGCGCGCCATGTGGGACCCTCCTCCGGTGGCCGGGGAGCAGCCGGGGATCGAACCGGCGCTGCAGAGGCAGCGGGCAGCTTCGCAGCCCAGCGCTCATCCGCGGCGCCACTGGGGAGGCCCCGGTCCCCCTTTTACAGATCAGGCATCCGACTTAGGGAGACCGTGACTTATCCACGGTTGCTCCGCTGTGCGCGAAGTGGACGCCATTTTGTCCTCTAAACCGCCAAAAAGAAAAGATAAAACCGGGAATGCGGCGCGAACACCACAAGCAGGTGCCTTCCCGGCCGCCCCGGGCAGTCCCCCGGCGCGCACAGGTCGCCTCCCAGCGGTCGCCACTCCCCGCGCGGCGCTTCCGGCCTCCGGTGTCGTCATCAGCCGGCGCGGCTAGTGTGCGCGTTCGGGGTCAGCCGGCGGGTGAGGAGGCGGGCCTTCCGGCCCCGGCCCGAGCCATTTCCGGCCGGGGCCGGAAGACCGTCCCGGATGGCTTCGGGGGCGGCCTGTGCGCGCTGAGCTCCGGGCGGCCGGCCTCCGCGCGCCCGCTGGTCGCCTCATGCTGCGGGCCGTGGCCGCCGGCCCCCGCTCGGATCGGCGGCGCTGAGACGCCGGGGCAGCGCGGCCATGTCGTCGGGCCTCCGCGCCGCCGACTTCCCCCGCTGGAAGCGCCACATCTCGGAGGAGCTGCGGCGGCGGGACCGGCTGCAGAGACAGGCGTTCGAGGAGATCATCCTGCAGTGTGAGCGCGCGGCCGGGGGAAGCCGAGGGGCCGCGGGAAGCCGAGCCGGGCGCCGGCGCCGCCCGCGCCTCCCGACACCTTGACCTCTCTCCCCGCGCCCTCGGGTGTGGCTGCGGGCGGTGCGGGGCTGCCCTCTGGCTCGTGGCGCGGCCCGGGCGAGTGCGTGTCGGCGAACTCCGGCTGCTCACCGGGGCTCGTGCGCTCACCTGGGCCTGGGCCGGAGCATCCCGTTTCCGCCGTCGTGTCCGTGAAACGGGCGCTGCCTCAGCGCTCACTCCCGTCGCTAACTCGGCCTTACGGGCCATGAGTGTCTGGCCCCGATTCCGCAGGCCGCTTGCCTCGTCTCTGCCTTGGTGGTCCTCGTTACACATTTTGAGTCTTAACATACTTTTTAATTCGTGTGTGGCATCTGAAGTCTTTACTGTTACTGAAATTTTAACTTTGAAGGAGGTCTCCCCTCTCCCCCCCTTATGTACTGCAATGTCAGTATTAAAAATGTACCTTTGAGTGCATCCTAATAATAAGCGTTTCCCCCCCCCCACCCGCCCCCCTCCAGGTTGACCGTAACTGGTGACGTATTTGGGGAGTTAGGGGTCCCTAGAGTCCCTCTACCCCTGAAGTAAGCCCGACAGAATCCTCTGGTTAAGTTGATAAGATTCAAAGTAATAATTGCCCTTTACTGAATTCTGATCGCGCTGAATCAGTGGTGCCCAAAATTGCCTTGATATTAGAGTCATCTTGGGGGTGGGGGGGTAGTCTTTTAAAAATTACAAATGCCAGGCCACACTCTAGCGTGACTAAATCACAACATACAGGAGTTGGACACAACTATTGCTATTTTTCTGATGTCCCCCAAATCTTAACGAACAGTCAGGTTTGAATTTGTGGTAAATGTTTGGCATATGTTACTTCACTTTATGTTCTAGAAAGGCCTGTAAAGCTGATCCTATTGTTGGCCTTTTTACATATGAAGAGACTGAGGTTTGGAGAGATTCAGTAACCTCTCTGGGGTTGCACAGCCTATAAATGGCAGAGCCTGAATTTGAAGACAGGCTGGATGGCTCCTAATTTCTGCATTGCTTTTCTCACTGGGCCCCCAAGAAAGTAGCCTTTTGTTTTTTCTTTCACTGAGCTCATCCTTTGAACATAGATGGGCAAAAAACAGGAGGAGGTGCCTCTTGTGCTAATTTCTTCTAAGAAAGCTCTGGCAGACCTGAGCTGTTTCAGAAAGTCAGAAGCCCAGGAAACCCTTGACTCAATGTGATTCCCTCATAGATTACCTAAATTCAGGGTCCCGGGTGTCTGTTGAAAACTTACTCTTTAAAAGCCACTTCACTCTGAAAGTCAAGGTGTGTTGTCTGGCCCCAGCCCTTACCCACCTTTTCACTTAGCTTTCTGTGCCTGCTTTGCTGCATCTGTAAAGTGGGGTGAAGCCTGCCCAGCCTGCTTCACCCAAGCAATGCTGTGCATATAATTGCTTTGAAAGCCACCTGTGTAATATCTATAAACAGATGGTGCTGTAATTGTGCATGAGTGTTTTTCTGCACTTTGAAAATGGACATCTTCATGGGGCTATGGATGAAAAATCAGAAGGAGAATGGCTCCTCCTAGAGGAGAAGGCTGGCTAGGATGTTACACAGCTGAGGGCAGGAGGCATCTGTGACATTTGGGGAGGTCGTGTCTGATTTGACAGTGGGACATTCCCACTTCTCATTCCAGCCAGTCATGCTCTGACCCTCCACCAACCCAGATTTTCCTGTTTAGTCCCTCCCTCTGAGCCTGATGAGAAAGGAGGAAAGAGGCTTTGGATGTGGGGGCAGCGTTCCCCCATCTCCATCCTTCTCTTACCTGAGAGGACTTTAAGGAAGGTTTCCCTCTTGAATGCCTTCTGTTCAGCCCAGGCACTAATTCCCTGGGGGCCCCCAGCCCTGCTGTAACAATTTGAAGGTTTTAGGAGCCCTTTGATAGTATGGAGTGAGGAGAGTGACAACGGGGTAGGAACCACTTCCCTTTTCTGCTGAGCAAACTTACTGAATTAATATGGTTGAAGGGCGTGTTTCTGGTTCTAACCTGGACCTCCATTTTTATATATTAAGGAAAAATAGGACTGGATATTCTCAGAGGACAGATAAGCTATTCTGATGGGAATAGTCAGAATAAACCCAGTCAGAATCCTGTCCTACAGCAGTTCTCATCTCAGATTTCTAGGATTTGGACAAACCCTACCAAATGTAGTTATTCTGCAGCTTGCGACAGTCGAGTTCTTGTTCTGCTTAGTGCCCCCACCCTGCTTGCTGACTGCTCTGTGCCTGTTGTTCCTAAGTGTCCTCTCAGCCCCAGCTTGAATTCTGCACTTGATCCCTGTCACATTTATTATAATCAGAAGGTGCAGTTTCTCTGCTGCTGTGTTCTCTGACACAGCAGGTCTCGTCTTCCCAGGTGCCTGAGCAAGAAACCTCAAGATAATCTTTGAATTCTTGCTAATAAGTAAATCTGATGTCATGGTCTACTTTTAAGTTCTCTTCTTTCACCATTGCCAGTAAGAAAAGGTCTAAATTTCATGGGTCGGGTCCCACTTTTATTTCTAGCCACTTAGCGCACCGCTCTGCCCATCCTTCTGCCGAACTGCCTGCCATCTCCACCTGTGAAACTGACCCGAGAGTAAAGGGTTGCCGGCTCTTCCTTTTTATGCTTGACCTCATGACACTGGGCTCCTTGAGGCCCTGCCCTCTCGTTTGTATTTATACTCCTAGTGCCCTGATGTCAAAATTAAATTTTCCAAATTTAATAAGGTACAATTCTCATGAGTTACTTAGCGATGGGTAGCAGTTCACTTTTCTTGTGTTTTGGTATATTTTCTTTCTTTTTTTAAACTCCTAGCAAAGAATAGGTAACTATGGGAGTAGAAAGCAGTGTAGACTGCCTTTCATGGGGGGAGGAGGGGTTCAGGGGTGTTCCCCTGGTTCCTTTGGCTGGGCTGCCCATGCTTAGGCCAAGAAGCATCTGAGGAGCGTGGCTTCTGGATTTTGGGTGATTGCTATGGTTCGTGCCTCGTAAAAGGCAAAGTCATCTTTCGTCCCAGTCTTTCTCTCAGATGTTAAGTAGTGATAAAGTGTTTGCAGGTCATAATAAGTAACTTCATTTCTTTGGGTTTTTTGGGGACAGATAACAGGTTGCTGGAAAAGTCAGACCTCCATTCTGTGTTGGCCCATAAGCTGCAAGCTGAAAAGCATGACCTGCCCAACAGGCACGAAATCAGGTATTTGGAAATCATCCTGTATTATTCGTATCTCCTCCTCAGTTGAAATCTGACTCGCTTCAGTGGTCCTTTCTCTAATTTAAAAGCAGCCCAGGCACTGCTTTGTGCCTGTTTTTGTCAGCACCTTTCAAATGAGAACTTGGGAAGCCAAGCAACTAAGGAGATCATTTTCTGATGGGCTGTCCTGCCTGGAAGGCTTATTTATTAGGCCATAAGCTTGGCGATTTCTTCAGGTCTGTCATCAGGCCAGTTCCTCCCCCAGCCTCCCAGCCTTCATTTTTTCTCAGTAACCAGGCAAGCATTCTTGAGCAGATTTGTATAGATCTGGTTAATAACAGGATTGACTGGGCCATAAATCTAATTTGCTTTATTACACAATACGAATATATAGGGTTCTTTTTAGTTCGTTGTCTTTCAGTATCTTAGAAGATTGTGAAATCAAACTAGCAACAAGCGCTTTAAAAAAAAATACTTTAATAAGGAGGTTAAGTATTGCCTTATTAAATATGCATATATTTTGTATATTGTTTACGATGTGGCTGCTTTTGTTTTCTTGGGCCATCCATGTCAACTGTGTTTTCATTTTTGAATGTAAGGATCCAAAAACATCTGAAGCCAGACTTCATCAGAGCAGCTTAAATGGAATCCCGCTGGCGTCTCATTGCTTTCTTGCCGGTTCGTGCTTGCGTATGAAATTTGATGATCTGTGTGAGAACAGTAGTCGTGGTTGCTCTAAACTCTACATGTGTTTTTGCATATTGGTTAACATTTAGTAGTTGTTCAAAACAAGGTTGATGTCAATGTAAGGTATTTTAAAAAAAAAAGCCAGAAACTCTAGGTGTGGGTGAATTTATTGCCCTGTGGACCTGCATCTGCTGTGTAACTGCCCGCCATCACGTCCCTCACCTGGCAGACCAGGGCAGGGCGGTGGTTCCATCCCTCCCGAATGACTGGACTGGACAGAGCCTCTCTGGCCGCAGCCCTGGCCGCCTCCTGTAGCTGCTACAATAGTGGTTGCGATGTTGCCATGCCGCCTCATTTCTCTCATCTGAATTCAGTCCTTGGAAAGCTTAAAATATTTTGTTTCTTCCTGGTTAGACTGCTGGTGACCGTGATCCTGTAGACTCGTTCCCTGAGAGCGGTGCTAGAGATGGCTGTATGGCGATGCGTCCAGGTGTCGCTGGGAGTCTGGGTGTCCCTTAATGGGAGGGCCTTCCCTGCCGACGCCTGTGTGGGCTTGGGCCTCTCCTGACCACTTGGCTTCTCTTCACGGTGTCCCTGTTTTCCTCAAGCCAGGCACCAGGGCCTATGGTTCCCCCACCCACGTGGTTGGTGCATCTGTCCTCTGCTTGCCACCCCCTCCCTCCAGTCTGCCCTTCCTCCCTTTCCTGCCTTGGCCAGGAGTTGTTCCCACAGAGGTGTGTGGCTGCAGCGCGGACCAGGTGTGGTGACCCAGGTGAATAAATAGGTCACTCAAGGAGCTGGTTCCCGTGGGGGGACCAAGTCAAGGGGTGCTGGTAGGATGAGGTCTTCACAGAAGACGGGCACCTGCTTGGTGCCTGCCCACTTCATCCTAATTAATCTGAATACGCCACATTTTCAAAACTCTTACTGCATCAGTTTTCTGACCCCTCTCAAAGTGGGCCAATCCCCTTGTCACCAAATAGATGAAAGCTAAACTCCTGAGCCTGGAATAGCTGGTCCACGGGTTTGCTAAGTGTGCTTCCTGCATGCAGCCTCTGGAGCTCTGTTAGGAGGCATCAGCAAGGCCCACCCCAGGCCTGTTGTTTCAGAAACTGGGGCAGGGCCCAGTACTCTACTTGAAGAGGCCCATTAGGTGTCCCTGATAACCTCTCACCTTGAGAACCCCTATTTCAGTCCAGGGCTGTTCAAGGTCCTGTGAACTGGCTGCCTCACCCCTACCCTCACCCGAAAGCTATTGTTACAGGGCAGGAAGACGGGCCCCCCCAGACCCCGCAAACCTGCCTGTTCTAAATAGGTTCTCCCATCTGCCGCATCAACACAAAACACAATACAAGACTTTAATGAAAAGGAACTTTAATATAATTAGTAAGCAGTACAGGAAAGGTGACGAATCTAGTTTCTAAATCAAGTACCCAAAGTTATGCGTCTCCTCGTGGGTAAAAATCCACCCAGACGGGGTTGGCCCAGAGCAAGACCCGAAAGCCTGCCACAAATCTAAAGCACCTTTCAGTGGGGACCCACAGAAAAGGATCAGAAATAACCAGAGAAGTCTGAGGGGAAAGAGCAAAATCAAGATAAAAGCTGCCATTCTTTTTTTTTTTTTTTTTTTTTTTTTTTTAAATTTTTTTTTTTTTTTTTTAATAGAGGCATGCTTTATTTATTTGTTTGCTGGTTTGTTTGTTTGTTTTGTTTATACATGCACTGGGTACAGTCAGAAGCGCGGGAGGGTGAGAGAATTCACCAGAGCCAGAGCGGGGAGCAGAGCAGGCAGAAGGACCTAAGTACACTGCTGAGGGGAGCAGCGGGCGGCAGGAGAGGTCTGCACGCCATGTGGGACCCTCCTCTGGTGGCCGGGGAGCAGCCGGGGATCGAACCGGCGCCGCAGAGGCCGCGGGCAGCTTCGCAACCCAGCGCTCAACCTCTGCGCCACCGGGGAGGCCCAAAAAGCTGCCATTCTTAAGCTCCCTACAGGTCTCTCACCCACATCTGTGTCACCCCATCACGACCACAAGGCAAGTGCAGTTTCTTCACATGTCTCTCTGCTCCACGTGCCTCTTCCAGGTCTCCTGGCTCCATCCTGCTCCTCCCTTCTCGGTCTCCTCTGCAGCTTCTTCTCCTATCTTTAGCACCACCCTCCTTTGGGTGGGGCAGGAAACCTGAAACTTTCCCTTTTCCTGGGGACCCCCTGTTAAACTATTAGAAATACACTCATAGCAGGAATCTAGAAAACTTAAATAAGGGACCAGGAAAAAGAATAACTATAAGAAAGAAAATATCAAAATCAACAAACAACTATGAACCAGAGACACTCTATGGGGGGTGGGGGATGGGGAAAAGAGGGATTGGGGTCAAAATAAGGGGGTTGCAATTGTATGGGGAATATAAAAATAAAATTAAAAAAAAAAAAAAAGAAATACAGGTACTGAGTCAGTCTGGGGTGGGGCCCAGGAGTCTGTCCCCTAACCCTCTGGGTGCCTCTTTGCTTGCCTAGTAAACCCCGGAAGGAGTTTGACCTGTACTGAGAGTAAAATTGGAAGTGACAGATCCTCAGCTGTGGGGTGAGTAACACCTCACCTGAGTCTCTTTCCCAGCAGCTCCTTGGAAGGAGGGATTTGTTTTGCATTTTACATCATCCATCATGCTTGGTATTAAAGTAAATGGATTTTGGTAAAAATATGTCCTTCTGCCTAGTTTCGGATGGTCACTTGTGCATTCCACTTCCTCGTGTGTTGGCCTCTGATTCAGGGCTGAGCTTGGGGAAGCATTGTGTCACCGCCAAGGACGAGGAGCAGTATGTGCTTAGCATGTGTAATGAAACACTGTTAGAGGCGGAGGGTGAAATTTGGGGGTGTGTCCCACTGCCCTTTCCTGTCTCTTCATTATGGGTCACGTAGAGGAAGCCGTTCCCTCTCCCTCAGAAGCTGGCGTCCTGCTTCTCCAGCTCGCTTCCTGTCTCCATCTCTGCTTTCCCTGCTCCTTGTGATCCGGTCATCCCTCTCTGGCCCTCTGTAGAGACCACTCTCCTGCTCTGTGAACCCACAGCTGCTGTCCTATACATGTGAGTCTGAACTGACTCCGTGCTCTAGGCACGTCTGTTCGCCGTCAGCCCCCGCCTGGACCCCTGCTTGAAGCTCAGTCTCTAACAGCCAGTTGAGACTCAACACGCTCCATGGGATGTCGCTCTGAAAGCTTCAGCCCCCGCCCCCAGCCTGTTCCTCCTGGTGTTCTCGCCCTGCTAGTCCATCAGCCGGTGACACTGACATCTTAGCAGTTGTTCAGGCCTTCGCGTGGCCTTGTCTCTTGGCCCCAGTGCGCCTTCCACTCAGACAAGTGCTGTGGGCACTCCAGATGTGTCAGGACCCAGCTGCATCGCGCTGCACTGCTGCCTTGATGGGGCTGTGCTGAGCCCAGACTCCGACACAGCCCACTAACTGTGGTCTCCCTGAGTCTGCCCTTACTTCCCAAGTCATTTTGTGACTCCAGACCTCCCAATAGCTTCTAATCATACCTTGTAAAAGCCACTGTCCTCAGAGGGCGCTGCAGGGCTCTGCACACTCCCCTCTCCCTCCCTACCCCCCGGCTCAGTGCCCCTCACCCCAAATCTTGTTTCCCTGCTGCTCCAGTCTTATTCTGCTCCCCAGCACCTGCAGGGGGGTGTGTGCCCCAGCTCACCTGCATGGTCCCCGCCCTCTCCGGTCTCAGGCACGTGTCAGCTCTCAGAGAAGCCTTTTGGGTGATCCTCCACGGGACAAGACCCCTTTCCCTCTGTCCCTTTCTCTCCATGACTTGGCCCTGGCTTCGTAGATTGGCTTTTTCCGGTCCGTCTGCCCTGAACTGGTTGTCAGCCGCATGAGCTCAGGGCTTGGTGCCCACCACCTCCTCCCTAAGCAGGCGCAGAGAGTTGGCACTCCCATCTTGTTGTGAGCGGACTCGGTGTCTCCTCCGGCTTCACCTTTATTCCCAGCAGACTTGCAGTTTGGGTTACGGACGTAATTCATGGGGTGTCTCACGTCTCCCTTTTGCCTTGGGCTCGTCATGGTGGTTATCACGCCATTGGCTGGGGGAACTGACCTGCACTGTTGTGCAGGTTTGAAATTCTGGATCTATCGTTCCACTGCCTGGCTGACTAGGTTTGGGGTCTGATTTTTTTCCCTCCCTCTTTTTTGCATGTGTCCTACATCTGCCTGGTTTGGGAATTTAGTCCTGGGCATGATGGGGCATGGAATGACAGTCAGCTACAAGAAATGGCCCAGCTGAGGATTCGACATCAAGAAGAACTGACTGAATTACATAAGAAACGTGGAGAGGTAAAACTCGACACTTGCCCGCTGTCCTGTGCTCCTGGCAGGTTGCCTGGTGGGGGTGGCAGGCAGGCGGCAGCCTCTTCCATTAGCATTTGCAGCCCCCTTGCAAGGAGGGCGAGCCTTTGAGACAGTTGCCTATTGTTCTGCTCCAAGATGACAAGGCACAACAGGCCTGGCTGTCCGGAGAGAAGCTTGCTGCTCAGCGCCGGGGGTCTCCTGATCCTTCATAGAGCACTGAGAGCGAGCCGGCAGTTCCAGAACAATGCATCAGAATGGCCTGGGCCTGGGCTTGTTTGCCCTAGGTGGTCATCCATGCCAAGCTGTGATGAAGGCAGTTTACCTTTAACTCCGCTGAGTGGGTCACTTCAGCTGAAGAGTCTGAAGCTGTGGCCCGGATGAAGGGCAGCCAGGTGGCCTCAGCAACAACTTGGAGGACACCTAGAATACTTTTCATCCCCCAAGTCTGCCTTCAACAGGGAAAACACCCCTCTCCATGAGTACCCCAGGGTTCCCTCGCTCCTCTCTACTGCCCAGCCTTCTGCTTGGCATCCTGGCCCCACCCACAGTCACCTTTTCTTTCTTAAAAATCAAATAAACCCACCACTTTCTGGTTTCCAGGTGAAGTCCTGAAACCCTTTCTTTATGAATGTATTCTTCTTTACACGCAGTTAGCCCAGCTGGTGATTGACCTGAACAACCAGATGCAGCAGAAGGACAGGGAAATGCAGATGAACGAAGCAAAGTGAGTGGAGATGCTTCCTTGGGCCTGGGCGGGGATCACACTCCCTGTGTCATGGGGCTCTTGTCAGTAGGACCGGTGGTGACCCCACTGGACTCAGCCAGAGTCTCTGTGTGCATGCGAGCCTGGGTCCTGCCCACCTGCTCTCAGGATGGAAAAGGCCAGAACAGTACCCTGGGTCTTCCAGGTCCCCGAGGAAGTTACCTTGGCCCTTGCAAGTATCCAAGACCCCGGCACATGGGGACAGGGTCTGTCTATGGTGGAGATGGGGCCACGGTATCGCCAGCCATGGCCTTGGGCACCAGGGGCCAGGGTTGCTCTTGATTGGGAGGAAGCCTGGCAGGAGAGAGGACCTCTGAGCTGGAGGAATGCCTGGTTTCCCCTGTTCCTCCCCCTTTAATCTGCAGAGACGACTCTGGAGGCTTAGCAGGGGGAGGGCTTGCTCAGTGAGGGAGGAGCTGTTGGGATACCCAGGATTTCCATCCTTTCACACTACCATTACCATTCTGTGCAAGCATCAAAAGATCCCTCTTCAAGCCCTGCCATTCTGAAAGGTGCGGCGAGTAGCCCCTCACCTGGGTGAGTCGCACCCTGGGTGTTCCTAGTGGAACGGTCACCTGGCTAAATGAGATGGAATGAATGTGGGTGGCCGCGTGGTACGTGGGCACTGGCTGAGGTTCTGTTGCTGCCCAGGCTTGAGGGTGGGGCCAGGCCCCCTGGCCATGCTCCCAGGGTGCCATGCCTCCCATCTGTGCTTCCAGGATCGCAGAGTGCCTGCAGACCATCTCCGACCTGGAGTCGGAGTGCCTGGAGCTGCGCAGTAAGCTCCAGGACCTCGAGAGAGCCAACCAGACCCTGAAAGATGAGTATGACGCCCTGCAGATCACCTTCACGGCCCTGGAGGAGAAACTGAGGAAAACTACTGAAGAGAACCAGGAGCTGGTCACGCGCTGGATGGCCGAGAAAGCCCAGGAGGCCAATCGCCTGAATGCAGAGAATGAAAAGGATTCCAGGTGGGTGACCTGTCCCCACTTCCATCAGTGTTTCCTCCTCTGGTAAAGTAGAGCTCGAGGGGAAGGAGCCAACTTGCGCTCAGGGAGGCCACCTGACTGGACAGGACGTAGTGGTCGTGGATGCAGGGAGATTGAGGGCCACCTCCCAGCTGGGCTTTGGCTCATACTGGTTTTACAGTGAAGTCTGTGGTTTAAGGACAACAGCTAATTCTTAAACAATATCAGCTACAGCAGAGTTTGTAAGCCAAAAATTCTAATCTTGCTAGTATTCAAGGCGGTATAATCCAGCCCCACATGGATATGAATGTGACATTTTTGGGGATAAAATTCATTGATGCTTTTTTTTTCCAATTTACTGCAATCCTAGGATTTATCCCAGGAATTAAAGATGGTTTATTAGTAAATCAATTAAATAGACTGGATTAGGTGATAGGAAATGCTTCAGTAGGTCCCCAGAAGGCCATTTGTTCATACACAGTAGTTGCCAATCCTGAAAAAACCCTGAAACTTAGAGCGAAAGATGTTAATAAAAACACTTGTCTGTAACCTTCAGCCATTGTTGTATCTAGCAGGAACCCCATATACACACCAGGAGTCTGAGTCAGGGTGGAGGGAAATGTGGGGTGAAATCTCCCCCGAGAGTAACACACACACACGATGTCTGCCGTAGCCACATGCACTGCTCTCAGACCCAGGAAGAAAAGAAGGAAGGCCCCACGCTCTTCTGACTCCTGCAGGACATCAGTCCAGATGTTCGGGGCCCCCCACCCAGAGAGGATGCTCAGTGCAGAGCTGACGGAAGGGAGGGGGATCCTAAGGTATCCACCCAGAAACCCTCAGAAAATCAGCCAAGAAACTCATGCCAAGAGATGGGTTGAGGTTAGAACATTATTTAAAACCTGCATCCCGTGGCTTAGAATAGGGAAAGATGGCTGCAGTTCACGTGGAGAAATGACTGAATGACCACAGGGACGTCTCAGAATCATGCTGAGCCCCTAGTCCTGCCCAGTCATCTCCCAGGCAGAGTTTGAAGTTCGTATAAAAACTAGAACCATGTGTCAGATTAAAAAAGTTAAGGGACTCCTGGCTGTTTATTTTATCAAGTTCCTAACTCGGAGTATTAGAGGACTTAGTAGAAAAGCAATGGGAAAAAAGAGTGAGCTAGGTAAGGTTTAGGGCTCGGCATCAGGAACACTGAAGGGTCCCCTCGGACGTGTGGTTTCAAAATAAATGTTCTGAGTGCAGCAACAGTAGGGAAGAGGGAAGCCCTCGGCAGGTGGACACAGCGCAGGAAAAGGAAGTGAAACGGTCATTAACTGGGACAGGAAGGGCCGTCGGGTGGAAGGTGAAAGGGGCCCTCAAGTTGCTGACAGAAGGCCAGTTCCCGCCACCTCCTGTGGGCCACTATGGCGACCGGGAGCCGGCGCTGGTTGGCCTTTATCTAAGGAAAGCAGACTTGTTTACAGATAGTGTTTTATGAGAAGACATTATTCATTGCAGTAAGAAAATGAAAAGCATTGTGTCCCTTGTGATATTTTCATATTGTGGGGTTTTATAAAGTCATTTTAAAATTATATTTTGAAAATGCATAAAATTAATTAGCTGAAAGTGGCATATAAAACATCTTCATACAATATAATCCAAATGTCAGAGGAGTTTTAAAAAACTAGAAGGAATTGTGAACTCTGCAATGAGATTATAGTTTTGTTTTTTCTTTATCTTTTTGTGTATTTTCTAAGTTTCTGTTAAGAAAATGAGCTGTCCCTTTTGTGTCTTTTCTGCCCTGCGGAGCTTGGCCTTTGCCATGGCCTTCTGGGGTGGCCTTGGGGCGGGCACGACCACAGGGGGCCTGACAGACCTGATGCTGCTGCCGGCGAGGGCCAGCGGGCTGGCGCACGGTCGCTGAGGAGGAGCCAGGTGTCAAGTGGACGGGGACACCACCAGCTCCCCACTAAGGCGGGACGGGAGACGCTTCGTGTCGCCTGTGTGCCCTGCTGCCTCTGCAGGAAGGCTTTCCTGAGAACGAGCACTTGGGCCTGCCACCCTCTTGCTCAGACAGTTCCTCCTTCTGGTTGTGCCCCCTAACTGCTCATCCCCCATTCGACATCTGTCTGCTATGGCTGGAGCTCTGGGCCCCTGGGTCACGAGTAGCAAGCTTATGAAATTGCAGTTTGGGGGTGCCTGTTAAACAGGGACATTTTGGCTGTGCCGGTGGAGTCTGGGCCCGGGCTCTCTTCTCCCTGTGACCCAAGGTCTGTCCTTCACCCCAGTGCCATCAGTGAAGGAGTGTGACTCTCATACCCCACCCCACCCCTGATTCTGGGACTCCCTCGGATAACCCATAGGTCTGTTCTGGCTTGGAAAGTTTTGTTGAGCTGTATTTTTTTGGTCATTTGGCGTGTAAAACTTAGTGTTTGTCCTCAAGTGTAAAACTAAGTGTAAAATGCACTTTTTTGAGCTGCAGTCTCATCCCTCCCCACTGTGCTGGTGGGTCCCCGGCAGATGTCCTGTTTTGAGGAGTGTCACTCAGATGGAAGCTTTTTAAAAAGTTTCAGCAGAGTTCTTGACCGGTGCTCAGTGCAGAGGTCTGGGAGGGGCCTCAGCACAGAGGAGCACAGTTAGAGGGGGGTTCTCGAAAAGAGTGAGGCCCAGGCCACATGAGGGGGCCCCTGTGTGTGGGGTGTGAGGAGAATCAGGGGAGAGTGTGCACCTGTTGAGCAAATTCAGGTGCTGCCACCTCTGAGGCTGCTGGGACCACCTTAGGAAATTGAAACTGTACACTTGGGTGGTTTGAGAATCTTGCTGAACTTGAGTTTCCTCATCTGTAAAATAGGCAGAATAGTTCTCACCCCAAAGTATTGTTGCAAATCAAATGAGCTGTAAAGTAATTCAGCCGCAGCATGCGTGAACTCTGGGTCTGTATAGTTCACACTCTGGGGGTGCTGGCCTCAGACTGCTGCACAAAAATGAATCTTCACCAGGACTAACCCTGAGTGAACTGAGGCAGCTTTCTGCCCTGAGAGACTCTGGCTCCCGACAGGCAGGCTCTCCCTGCTGGCTCCCTGGTTTCCCTGCTAACATCCCACTCCAGAGGGGGCACTGCTGTCCTTTGCAGTGGCCATCCTGTTTGACACAGGTTTGGGGCTTTGGGTGTTCTAGCCCAGGTAGTTATTTTAAATGCATGAGTATTCAAGTGTGTTGTTAAAACTAGTAGTTTATTCAGGCCAAACCCCCTTGCATCCTGGGCGCAGACACCAACCGTCGGCTTCTTCTTCTCGACAGGCGGCGGCAAGCCCGGCTGCAGAAGGAGCTCGCGGAGGCCGCCAAGGAGCCTCTGCCCGTGGAACAGTAAGTAGAGACGTCTGAGGCAAAACATGATCTTAGCATGTGATTTGGTTTTGAAGGATTCTGTGTTTTTAAGCTATCAAACCATTCTAGAGATTGTGGAAAGAAAATTAAAAGGCGTAAGGGAGAAATTAGTAAACTCATTACTTTACCCAGACTGGTTCCAGCTTACGATCCTCGTCGGCTGTGAGTGTGACTTCTGACTTCCTGCACTTGGAACCGCTGACAGCCTCACTGGTTTCCTGTTGACAGTTGGGTCCATTTTCTACCTCATTGGCGCTGTTGAAACATAAGGCGGGGCTGGGCTGCTCTCTCTTGCTCTGTTCTTGGTTTGTGGTTTTAGGTGGGAGTTTGGCGATACCTTTGAAACATAAGTGTTGACGGACCTCTTGGACCAAGAGGAATTGGATCAGTTTGGAGCTTTTCCTAATCTGGAGTTGGGTTGGAGGGCCTTCCCTGAGATTTAAAGCTTTGATTGGAGAGTGATGTTTGTTTCAGTGACTAAATTCCATCTGCTCTAGTTCAGGGTGCATTTCTGTTGAAACATGCTCTGGAATACAGTCTTAGGGTTGCAAGCCCCTCTTTTTAAAAATGGTGGTTGCTTCCCTGTGAGAAGGGAGTGGATTCCGTTCAGGTGGGGGTCATCTTGTCCAAGCCCAGTGATGGGAACACAAAAGTTCCACAAACTTCACTGTATGTGTTTCTTCTGTACTTTCTGATGTGGGAAATGAATCTCCTCCAACTGCAAAGTAAATAAATGACATGGAAATGAGATGTCCTTCCTTAAAAGGGACAATTTGTAGGTGTCATTTGTCTGCTCACCATTTGCCAGCATAACCAGAGGACAAGGTATAACATGAGATTTTTTTCCACTAAGCAGATCTTTTTTTTCCTCCACACCTGATCCCTTTTCCCATTGCCTACCTTCTCCTTTTTAAGATTTATTTATTTATGCATACAAGAGCTGGGGTACAGGCCAGAGTTGCGGGGGGTGAGAGGATTCACCAGAGACAGAGTGGGGAACAGAACAGGCAGACTGACCGAAGTACACTGCTGAGGGGAGCAGAGGGTGAGACAGGAGAGGTCTGCAGTGCCATGTGGGTGGCTTCCTGGCTGGCCGGGGATTGAACTCATGCTGCAGAAGCTGCGGATTGCTTCACAGTGGTGTGCGTAACCCCTTGCGCCACCAGGGAGGACCCTGGGCTTTTGATTCTATTCCATTGATCTGTGTAACTATTTTTGTGCAGGTGCCATATTATAATACCATCGCTTTCTATAGGTAAGTTTGAGATCAGGTAACATACCTCTTTCTCCTTTTTTTCTCAGAATTGCTTTTGCAGGGGCTTCCCCTGTGGCGCATCTGGTTGAGCACAGTGCTGTGAAGCTGTCTGCAGCCTCTGCAGCGTGGGTTCAATTCCTGACCAGCCAGGGAGCAACCCACATGGCACAGCAGACCTCTCCTGTCTCTCCCGCTGCTCCCCTCAGCAGTGTTTTCAGTTGTCTGCCTGTTCTGCTTCCTGTTGTCTGCCTGTTCTACTTCCCATTCTGTCTCTGGTGACTTCTCTCACCCTCCCGCGCCTCTGGCCTGCACCCCAGCTCTTGGATAAATAAGAAAAAGAAAAAAATTGCTTTTGCAGTTTGAGAACATTTGTGATTCCATATAAGTTTCAATGTTTTCAATTTCTTTGAAAGTTATTGCTGGCATTTTGATGGGGATTGCATTAAATTTGTGCAGTAGTTTGGGCAGGGTAGTCATATTGATTGTATTGGTTCTCCCATCCATGGGCCTAGGATGGCCTTCTGTCACCTTAGGTCACTAAGTCCTTTAATAACATTTTTTAGTTCTCAATGTGTAGGGTTTTTACCTCCGTTGTTAGGTTAATTTTGAGGTTTTCTCTTTTTTTTTGAAGCAATTATAAATACAGTTAGTCCTTTTTTTTTTTTTTTTTTTTTTTTTGGGTCCCTCGCCGGCGGCTGGGGAACGAAGCAGCGCTGCAGAGGCTGCGGGCAGCCTCACAGCCCAGCGCTCAACTGCTGCGCCACCAGGGAAGGCCCAGTCCTTAATTTGTTTGCTGCTTGTTTGTTGTTCATATATAAAAATATTGTGGATTTTTATGTGTTGATTTTGTAACCTGTCACTTTGCTGGCAGATTCGTCTATTATTTCTAATAACTTTTTAATGGCATCCAAATGTATAATATGTCACCTGTGAATGGTGATAGTTTCACTTCTTTTCCGGATTCCCTTAATTTCCTCTTTGTCTGACTGCTCGGGCCAAAACCTTAAGCAGAAGTGGTGACAGTGGGCATCTTTGTCTTGCGCCAGAGCTTGTGGAGAAAGCTTTCACATTTCCATCACTAAGTGTTACGTTGGCTGTTGGTTTGTGATGCATCGCCTTTGTTCTGTTAAAGTAGGTTTCTTTCCTTCCCGCCTTGTTTAGTTTTTGTTATAAATGGGTGTTGAATTTTAAGTGCTTTCGCTGTGTCTGTTGATATTGTCAGAGGATTTTTATCTTTAATTTTGTTGCTAGGATGTATCAGACTGATTTATGAGAGTTAAGCCATCCTAACACCTCTGGGACAAGGTCTGTAACCCTGTGATACGTATTGAATTCAGTTTGCCAGTATTTTCTTGAAAGTTTTTCCACTGACGTTCCTCAGAGGTACTGGCTTGTAATTTCTTGTGCTCTTTGGTTTCAGTATTAGGGTCGTGTTGGCATCAGAAAGTGTCCCGGGGCATTCCTCTTCTGGTGTTTTAAAACAGTTAAGCAAGATAGGCATTCATTCTTGAAAGGTTGGATAAAATTCATTTGTAAAACTGGTCTTTGGGGTGGTTTTTCAGAAGACTGTTACTGTTCCAGTTGCCATCCTCTGATCAGCTTGTCCAGCTCGTCTGTTTCTCCCTGGGCTGGTATTCATAGGCTGTCTGGGTCTAAAAATGTATCTATTTTATCAAGGTCATCGAGTTTATTGGCATATAGTTGTTCATAGAAATCTGATACCACTCTGTGTATTTCTGTGCTGATTTCTCTGCTTTCATTTGTGATTTTGTTTATTAATGTTTCTCTTCCCTTTTTGTAACATGATTTAGACGGTTGAATGTCCTGCCTCAGGTCACCCAGGAAAGGGCTAAGCTTGAGTGCAAACCTGATTAGCAGTGTCTGCGCAGGTTTGTTTGTTAACCCTGGCGCCTCCCCAAGAGTGGAGTTCTGGGTGAAAGGACATTGACTTCTTTGAAGCGTTTTGATGATCCATTATCAATCTGGTATTTTCTCGTGACCCGGGGCCTCTGCCCAGTTCCAAGTACCTTGATGACTGTAAACTTCTGTCTTAAGGCTCTCACACGAATTCCGCTTCCCTATGTCATTCTCGCCCTCTCTGCTGTGCTGTTGTCACCCTTGTTTCAATACAAGGGATCCCCAAACCACAACTGAAGAGAAAAGAAGCCTGGCCCTGTCTCTCTCGTCAGGCCTGCTTTGTTCTCCACATCTTGCCAAGTTTGGGTTCAGTTACACGGAACCCTACATTCAGCAGCCAAGGAAAATAAGTTGACCTGGACTTGGTTTAACTTGCTTGGTAACAAGTTCTGAAGCCTGTATTTACATAATCCGGTGATCAATCATGGGAGAGTCTTGCTTTCCAGTTCCTATGAACCCGAACATTAGGTGACCATCTTGGGGGATTACATTTCATTATTTTACTTCTCCCTGAGGATTGCAACCCGGTAAGAGGTCAGGGAGACCAAAGTGATGACTTGCCTTCCCCCAACCAGGAAAACAGGAGGAAGGGAAATTCCAGAGGTGCTTTGTATCCGGTGGGATAAACAGCAGCAAAGGGGTGTGCGCCTACGACTTAATTATTTCATGTGAAATGTGGTCAACTCCTACATGTCAGAAGTACCAGCTGTTTAAATAGAAGCACGAAATACCCAGAGTCAAGAGAGTTGCGTGTAGATTTTGCTCTCCTGGTTTTTATTAGTGACGCAGTATTTAAACCTGAGTTGTTAAGGCGTTGATTCCCTTGCGTTTCAGCAGCCCCTTGCCGGCCAGCTCTCCTCTCTGTGCTGTCATTTCCCTGTGCGCCCAGCTCCCCACCATTCCCCCACCGCCCACCTTCCAGCAGGATCTGCTGATTGATCATGCGCGGTGACCCTGAGCTGCGTGCCAGACGGCTGGTGCTGGATGTGGCTGGAGACTTCAGCCATTACTTCATTGCTCTCTGCTTGGAAGCTGCATTTCCACCGGAAAGGAGCAAATGTCATCAAAATCACTTTTTTGAATACACTTTTTATTGAAGTAAAACTCGTGTATAACATGACAGGCTTCGGGTGTACAGTGATACACGGATGTGCTTGCTTGTGTTCACCCCCGAGAGCCTGCTGTCGGCCTTCTGAAGGCTCCCCTGGACTCGGTTCGAATGGACTCACTGTTGCTTTCAGTGTTGCCCTGTGCTCAGCTGCACCTTCTTTTCCTCCGGAGAACCCCACCCCAGCACTCGGAGAACTGTAGAGCGGACCCCTTGCCGAGCGCTTGCGGCCCCCATCACAGATGTGGCTTCTTGCTCTTTCAGGGATGATGACATTGAAGTCATTGTGGATGAAACCTCGGATCACCCTGAGGAGACCTCACCCGTGCGAGCCATCAGCCGAGCGGCCTCGTGAGTGTTGGGGGGTGGGGGGTGCAGGGTCCAGCCACAGTTGGACAGAGCACACTGTGGCCATGACAGAAGACCCATCCAGGCCCCCAGCCCCTCTTGCACAGCTGCAGAGACCGCGGGCTCCTGTGTGTCCCCATCGCTCAGTTTGCCTGTCTCCAAGAGGGGAGCAGGCTTCCCTAGCGCTGCCACCAGCGGGAAGGGAAGCAGAGAAAGGAGTAGGTGCCTCCTGGCAGGTGGGCAGCTGTCCCTCGCTAGGCAGGGCCTTGTTTTTGATCAGACTCTGATCTCCCTGGGGCTCAGAGCTTTTGTTGATTTGCTAAAGCAGGTCTGCACAAATGGGAATGGGTTCTTTTTTTTACTATTAGAGATTGCCTTTTTGCTTTTCCATATGTACATGGTTCCACTCACCTCCACCAGACCACGTGGGCTCACACAGAGTTGGGGGGGTGGGTGTCAGCAGCTAGATGGTGTTGGGTCGGTTGGTGTCATGTCACTGTCTGAAGCGTGGTCTCCAGGGAGTAGGTGTGAAGCTGGCCAACCTTGCTTCTTTTAAAACTTTGAGGCTGGGTTCTCCCTCCTACCTTCCCACTGTTTCCTGGTGGCTAAGTACTGTAATGGGCTTCTCACTGGGGTTTGGGGCTCAATGGGAAATACTCCCAGGTGCCTATTTTTGTGGATTATTTTTGTTGATTAATTATTTGGGCAAATGTTTCTAAGGTTTAAACCTATCCTCCCCTCCTCTTTAGTAAGCGACTCTCGCAGCCTGCTGGAGGCCTTCTGGATTCTATCACTAATATCTTTGGGTAGGTTAGAAAACCTTCGCCTTTCCTTGTTAATATGTGTATAAATGAACCTAAGAATAATTCATACGTGATTTATGATCGATTTGTAAATGTACACCAGAATCTCGGTGGTGCAGACTATAAGATGCCTGAATTTCGGCTTCTTCCTTTTTTCCTCAACTTCCTTTCTCTTAATCTCGCTGCCTGCTGATCTCTGGCCTTACCCCTTAGTCTGTCCGAGTCTCCCCTTTTGGGACATCACTCTTCTGATGCTGCCAGGTGAAAATCCATTCCTCTCTTAGCCCAGCATGCGAATGTGGGTGGTTGGTAATCATGCTGATCGCCGCTTCACTGCCCTCTCACCAGATGTCCACATGCTAACCAGGATGCTTTGCATGCTCCTAGAAATGATGTCTGCCCTCCTGGGGCACGCTGGTCGAGCTCTTATAATCATGCCCTTGTTGCTCACTCTTTGGCATGTGTTCGATTCCTCCTTGACCACCAGTGTACACTGAGGATGATGTTAATGAGCCACAGAGATCATCTTAAAATAGTTGTGTAACATAGGAAGCAGCTCCTTCTTACCTAGCAGCTAACATTGGGTTGAGAACATTTTCTAGCAACTGGCTGGGAAAGCAATGGTTGTCCTGGATTCTTTAAAGGCTCTGTTGAGCTTGGGGGTACATGAGCTAGCAAGCCCAGAGTACAAGTATGTGCTCTTTCCGGTGGCCATTTGAGTGAGTATGCTTCTGATTGGGTATGTTATTCTGTGGTTTGAAGGTTCTAGAAGAGGAAAGGAGCTATTGATAAAGGCTCTTTGAATCCCTTCTGAGTTTGATGGACAGTGAGCCCGTGCGAGCCTGTCTGATAGTCTCTTTTGTTACTTCTTAGGAGGCGCTCTGTCTCTTCCTTTCCAGTTCCCCAGGACAATGTGGACACTCATCCTGGTTCTAGTAAAGAAGTGAGGGTGCCAACGACCGCAGTGTTTGTCTTTGTAAGTACGCTCGTCCTCAGACCCCGCCCACTGGCAGGCCTGGTGCAGTGACAGCCTGACAGCTGGAGGCACCTCTGCTGCTCGCCAAGCTCTTTGCGGTTCTCTATGCATCAGGCTCTTCCTCCTGTGCGTGTTGTGGCGGCGGGGAGAGGGGCAGCTTCCTCTGTAGCACAGGACTGCCTGAGAGGGCTGGCAGTGTGAGAAGTGGGACAGGGAAACTAATTAGGGGTGGTAAGAAACTGGGCAGGGAGGGGGTGGTTTCCATACAGTTGTCACCAGTCGGTTCCAGTCTAGAGAGTCTAATCGCTGGTCTGTTTTGGAAGGTCAGCAGTGCAACTGACAACTTCACGAATTGTGCCCGACTTGGAGTTCGGAGCCGGGTCCCAGTACTGCTGGGGAATCTGGCTCCTGCTGGGATGATGCAGCAGATATTGAACCAGCCTGGGGAAGATACAGAGCACTTGGCTCAGAGCCAAGCCCTTGCTGGGGATGCAGGGGGACTGTGGGGCAGGGCGGAGGGTTAAGAGGCTAGCAGTGTTGCCGAATCTCGGATTGGGTGGAGTCAGAAGAGTCAGCTTACAAGGGAGTAGAAGCCTTGCTGTAAGAATGGGATGGAATTTCTTTGGGGGAGTTCTTAGTTCTAGGCATAAGGAGGAGCTTGAGCAGTTAGGTGTCTCCACACTGTCACTGTGCAGGTGGTTCTTGGACGTTGTGAAGAGAACCCCGCTCTGGATGAAAAATTGGACTGGGGACACCAAGGGCCCTCCCTTCCACTCCCTCACGGAGGTCGGTGATGATTGGTAAAAGGTCTGATTGCACTTGATATCACAGTCCCTGCTCTGCCCTCAACTCCCAGCAGCCCATTTTTTGGCCTCCTTTCACATTTAAGTCATGTGTATTGGACAGTGGAGCGGCTGATAATTTGGGATCCTGTCAGCATGTGCTTCCGAGAGTGCGCGAATCACAGCTGACGCGTATCCGACAGAACCAGGCCCAGAAGGAGAGTAACGAGCGGCAGCCCTGGGTGTGATGGTGCATGATCTCAAGTTTTCAATCTGAGACCTCCTGTGTAGCGTGAGGGGGAAAAGGACAGGAAGTGCCGGAAGTCGGGGTTTGGCCACCGCTGGCCAGCTCCACAGCAGAGGGACGCGGGGGACCTGGGAAATCATTACTAGGCTGAGTACCGACGACTCCCGTTGCTTAAGAGTCTGTATTTCAGTAACTTTGCAAGCATCTTCCCCTTTTGGTCTCAAGCAAGTGTGAAGAGCGGATTTTTGTCTTCCCAAAATGACCCTTTAAGCGAGCGATGGAGGGCCTGTTGAATGATATTTGTTTACAGTGCGTGTTTCCCAGAGCGCGCGCGCACCCCAGGAACTACGGAACTTCCGGCAGTGGAGGGGAATGAATTTCTAGGTCCCCTATCCAGTCAGTTTCAGTCACTACCTTTGCCCTCTTACTCTCCCCACACTTTTGCTGGAACAACTCAAAGCAAATCCTGGACGGTTCGTCAGCATTTTGGTGCCTGGTCTTTTTTAAGAGGAGAGGTGACTGGCGTCTCCTAGCATGCGTTTTCCCATGCCAAGGCGGGCGCCTTGCCCTTGGGTTCCTTTTATTCAGAGCGCAAATGGCGCGTTCAGGTCATGTATTCCACTGTGGACACCTGTCTCAGACATCATCTGCCCCACGCAGGTGTTTGAGTGGCCCCTAGGTAGCACGTGTGCTTGATTGAAGGGCTGTTTCTGCTCGGGCACAGTCCTAGGCCACAAAACCTGCAGAAAGAAGCTCCTCTTTTTCGAAGTCAAGACTCGGCACAGGCCACGCAGCCAGTGCACGTTTACACCATCAAGTCTCTGGAAGAAGCCATGTGGAGCCCACATGATGCCGTGGGGTGACGAGCGGATATCTCATATTTAAGCTCCATAAAGGCTGGCTTTCTCCCGAAAGCTATGCAATGCAGGACTTAGACACACAGTTTAATGTGTAGTATGAATGTGATTGGACCAAACAGATCAGGCCTGCTTTTAAGCTATTAAGATCATAATTGAACACAAGATCAAAATATCGTTATTCTTAGAAGAAATAAAGTTAATGCAAAGACAAATTTTAGGCAGTTAGTATAAAAGGTTTTTATTTTTTTCTAAAAGATCATACTGTATTTAAATGCATGAAACTGCAGCTCTTACAACTTAAGATCATTAAAGAAACCCTGAACTAAGAATCCAAGTTAATGATGGGCTCCTCTGATCCTGTCTTTAAGGATGGGTTAAGCTGTGGTTAGGTATCCAGAATTTTCCTTGACTTCTACTCTTTCTCCTTGGGAGTGGCGATGATGGCTCTAAAGCCGGTGCTTGTCTTGCAGGACGCACATGACGGGGAAGTCAACGCGGTGCAGTTCGGCCCCGGCTCCCGGCTCCTGGCCACTGGGGGCATGGACCGCAGGGTGAAGCTCTGGGAGGTGTTTGGAGGTGAGCGTCCCTAGGAGTGCACGGAAGGAAGCTGTGTGGGTGGTGTGAGTCGGCCTTGCTTTCTGGCAGTCTGTCGATTGTTCATCTCTAGCCCAGCCCTGCGTTCCTCTTCACAACCCAGCGGCTGTTTGCTCTCAGTTTCCAAGTGGTGACTGGGAATTGCTGTTAAATTAAGCTTGTGTTTTCACGTGTGAGTGTTTCCGCAAATAGATATTAATCAGAATATCTCCCAGAGTCCAGTTTTAAAAGGAAAAATAAAACCCCTTACAGGTCAGGGGACTGTGAACTACATGTTGAGCTGTGGTGTGTGGGTATGATGACGCCACTGCCTAGGGCAAAGCCGGCTGAAGGCATAGCTGAGCCTGGGAATAAAAAGAAGGGCACCCCGCCTCTCCCCCAGAAAAAATCTGTTTTATAACCTATGGGACAAGGGGCCTGAGGTCAAGTCTCTTTAATGAGGCTGAGTTCCAGAAATGGGATTTATAAAGAAATGGGATGGCACTCAAACTCTTGCGCAGCTGAGGAGCACGTGTGGGAGCTGTGGGCTCTACGTCTCCCCCGCAGGCCCTGCTCTCTGGCCGGCGTCTTCCTCTTCTCTGACTCGGCCTGCGCTGGGCAGTTGCTTTGCGGATGCGCTTGACCCCCAAAGTCTCCCAGTGTGTCATCCTCACTCTGCCTGACCTTCCTGTCCCCCCTCTGTCTCTTTATCCAGAGAAATGTGAGTTCAAGGGGGCCCTCTCTGGCAGTAACGCGGGGATTACAAGCATCGAGTTTGACAGCGCTGTAAGTGCCTCACAGCCCAGAAATCGGTGATTTAGGAGTTCTTAAAAGCAATTTAAAACTTCTGGTTCTTGAAATTGAAGAGCTGCTTACTGGCGTGTCTGCTCTTCTAAGAGTCATGTCCATGATAGAGTGGATGCGAGTCACTATAGAATTAAGTGGTCTGGTACTGGCTGGCTTGGGGCATGGGGTGATACCCTCAGCTGTGAGGACCCAGCATTTTCTAATTCCACTTCCGGGCCGGGCTGTGGGTCCCGGGTACTGTGCTTGCGGGGCCAGGGCTTGGGGTCCCTGAAGGTAGCAGGAATCAGAATGGGCGGTGCAGGGAGAGGGGGCAGTTTGGGCAGGGCTGGCTCGGTGCTGGGCTGGAGGGGAGAGCAGGACAAGGGGAGGGTCACTGCTCCCCTCCCAGGAGTCGTGCCCACTGCCCGAGAGCCTGCTCGGTGTCCCTGTGTGGCCGCGCCATGGTGGTCCCGTCACATCTCACGCAGGTCTCTGGAGCAGGAGTGCTCCTTGGGAGTCTGGGTAGCTGCTGCTTGAGTTCAGCAGGGGGTGATGGGGAATCTGGCTGGCAGGTGCCGTGTGGGGCAGGTGGCGGTTGTGTGGAGGGGCTCGGGGCCTCGGAATTTCAGTCTGTGCTGGGGATGCAGGAAGGAGGCCGGCGCCTCTGCGCTCCGGCGGCTTGGGTCGTGGGTAGAAAATTGGTAGTTGCTGCTACTGCAGGGGGTGGGACGGGGGCCCACCTCGGGAGGAAGGGTCCCTGTGAGCTGGAGGAGCCTGCAGCCTTCAGGTGGGGTGGCGCGAACTGAGGAGGAGCGTTGGCTGCCGGTACCCTGGCGGTGAGGGCGGGGTTTAGAGTGGGCGTGTGGCTTCGGGCAGCGCAACCTCCTTGGTCTTGATTATCAAAGAATTTGTGCGAACCGCGTTATTTTGGCTGAAGTTTGATCCTTCCCCCCACCCCTCGCTTTTTTCCCATAGGGATCTTACCTCTTAGCAGCTTCGAATGACTTTGCCAGCCGCATCTGGACAGTGGATGATTATCGGTTACGGGTAAGGCCAAGTCAACCTCCGTGTGACTTCCGACCTTGGTGGTGTCATCGAGACAGGGTGCGGGGTGTCAGACGGATGAGTTCAGAGAGTTGTGTCTGTGTTCCTGCAAATTTTACAGTGTCAGTTCCCCCTGCCCTTTCCTTTCCTCCTGGGAAGGATTCGTTTTCCACTTCACGCTCCTGTTCTATCCAGGAGTCCGTAACAGAGTGTTTACAGTGGGGACCCCACACACACTTCACGGAAGCCCGGGCGCTCCTCTCCACAGGAGCGCCACACTCAGCAGGGAACAGTTCCAGCTTAACTTCAGCCCCATCAGCCCCAGCACGTAGGCTGTGCTTCCTCCGGGTTCCGGGACTTGTAATCACCGCACAGCGTGCAGCAGGAAAGTGGGCTGTAGACTCACGCTTGAGGCTGTAGACGGACACACTTGAGACAGAGAAAATGGCTGTGCAGCAGCTCCAGCCGGGGGGCAGGTGTGAGAGAGGAAGAGGGGATGGATCAGATGTTGCAGAAATCCATTCACATCTGCATCCTAAGTAGTCGTTGATGACAAATAAAACTTAATGGTCAGGGCCTCCCCGGTGGCGCAGCGGGTTGAGCGCCGCACTGTGAAGCTGTCCGCAGCCTCTGCAGTGCCGGTTCAAATCCAGGCCAGCCAGGGAGATACCCACATGGCGCAGCAGACCTCTCCTGTCTCGCCCGCTGCTCCCCTCAGCAGTGTATTTTGGTCCTTCTGCCTGTGTTGCTCCCTGCTCTGTCTTCTGGTGAATTCTCCCACTCTCCTGCGCCTCTGGCTTGTACCCCAGTGCTTGGATAAATAAATCTTTAAAAAAAAAAAAAAAAAAAACTTAATGGACATAGTACTTTTGTTCTAATGAAAAGCACACAGCTCAATTTGAAGACGTGTTTCTCCTTCAGCTTGAAGGAATTGTCACAGGAGCTCATTAATAAAGGCTGCTGGAAGGGTGAGTGGAGGAGGAACTTGACACTTTGGTTGGCATTTTACCAAAAAAAAGAGTATAACACAAGCTTTTGTGTATCACCCCATATAAAAAACAGAACATCGTGTTAAGATGAATTTCTTAAAGACAAATCTCCAGGCATGTGGGGAGCAGCAGGGAATGGTCTGTTAGGTAGGAATCTGGTCTGATTTGTTAGTGCAGGGATGGAGCTGGAAGGATCTTTATTAACAGTTAATTCCGTGTTTATTTAGACTTCCCATTTTCTCAAAGGAGTTGAATGGAACATTGTTGGTGTTAGATACTCCTCGTGTTGAGAGATCCAAGGGCTCTGCTCAAGGGTAAGGGGCAGGGAGGTGACACCTGCAAGCAGGTCTGGGCTCCCCTCAGGCAACAGGCTACATCTGTTATGAGTTAGTACAAGTTTCCAACTGAAACCTGGTACGTCTGTTCCCTAAACGCAGAAAAGTTGCCGGCCTGTGTCATGGCTGCTTTCTGACCCATCCTCGTCTGCAGCCCCCTCTAGCCACCAGCTCTCGCTGGACAGTGAGATAGGGTCAGAGGTTTCTGCCGTCATTAGCTTGCCTAATAGAAAGGGGACTTTTCTTGAATGGCATCCGCGTGTCAGGCCCAAACTACAGTGTGTTGTGTGTGTTCTTGCTTTTCGTCCTCGGGAGAACCAGGGAAGGTGGGGAGAGGAGGGGACTGAAGCTCAGCCAGACCCCCAAATTTGCCTGCGTTCAGAGTTCACATACGTATCAGGCCTGTGATCCGTGAACCTGGCTTCATCCAGGCTGGGAGACGGGAAACTGCCCGATCAGTTGGGGGCACTTGCTGCCACCCTGACCTTTAGGCCCTGGGGGAGACGAGCCGGTAGTTGGTCATGCAGCTGTGCGGGGTGAGGCCTTTCGGCTAGTAGGAGAGGGCTGGTCCGAAGTGACCTGGAGGCAGGGGGCGGGCCTAGAAGAAAAGGGTCATGTTGGGAAGTCACTTGGAGAGGCTGCTGGCCAGCTGGGGGCAGAAGTGGGGCTGTGGCTGCCTGTGCTGAGGAGCTGGTTCTGAGGGCCCCTGCAGCCCTGGCTGGGCCCTTGCTCACGCTGTGGAGGGGGTTGAGGAACCTTTTTTCAGATAGGTTCTTTGTATCCGGAGAATTTGTGCACGACCCTTAACCGGGCCCAGCAAGTGAATTGGCCCCTGGCGGAGGCTCTGGCTCCTCCTTGAACCTCATTCAGCCGAGGTTGGAGGACGTGAATGGACATCCAAGTGCTGAAACCCCGGGGTCCCCAGCCCCGGCCAGTAGCTCCTTTGCTTTTTGATGAGAGGCAGCGGTGTTAGGAGAGACCGGAATGCCTGGCGCAGCCTCGGCTTACTGTGAAATCTTCTTGAAGGTACCCCAGAAACCGCTGGTCTCACCCGAGTCCATCACAGAGGCTTCTTACCAGACTCCTCACAAAACTGGAGGTGGTTGGAAACCCCCTGGCTGCCTCGAGACGGACCAGGGTGCAGGGCTGCAGACCCTGCCCGCTTTGCCAGGGCACGTGCAGGAGCCTCGCCAGGCTGGCTTTCCCGTGGTTTCTGTGTGAGAAACTTCCTCCTCACGGTCCGCGTTTCCTGGCACGGTGGCTTGGGTTATCAAGGGACCGATATTCAGGAATGATGAGTGTGGTCACATAGCCCAGATGAGCGGTGTCTTTATCCCGTGTCTGCAGAACATGGCGTTGGTTTTTAGTGACACAGCAGAAGTATGTGTACACAGAGCTTGAGGTTTTGGATGACATATCAGTGGGTCTAAGATTCAGCTCACGCCTCATGGGGAACACCTTCCCGAGTCCTGTCTCTCCCTGTCCTGTTGCCACAGACTGGGGCCTTACTCTGGCGCCACCACTCCTGGACTTCATGTCAACCCTCTCTGCCGAAGCATTCTTCCAGTTTCCAGAGGGATCGGGCAGGTGCTCCCACAGCCGTTGGTGGCAGCAGTTATAGGTTTCACAAGGATGCAATGTGGCCGAAAGGCGTCTCTGACTCACATGACTCTCCCATTGGAAGGGAGAAGTGCGTGCGGCCTGCGTTTCCCAGTTGTGAAGGGAGGCTTAGCACCCAGCTGGTTGCTAGGTTTTAATACTAATCTGCAGGCAGTCACGTAAGGCGGGAACCCTGTATGTCAGCGTGATGGGGAGCACACTCGTGTCATTGTTTCCCCTAAGAAGAAAGAAAATGTCGGTGAGCCCTATCTGAGCCTTGAGGGTTGGTTTTATGTCTTAGAGGTGCTGACCTGCTCTGGCGCGCGCAGTGAAAGGGGACCCGTGTGACGGCCCCCACTCTGCCCCGGAACCACTGAGGAGTGCTGTGCGCAGCAGCAGAGCTGACCCTGGGTACAGTTCCATGTTCTTGGCAGCAGTCACCCAGGAGGGATGCTGGGAGAGCTGGTATCTGTGCTAAAGCTCTTATGTTTCAAGCTTGATTGAAACCCACCCCCCCCCCGGGTTTTCATTGTTCACTTGAAGAGCCCTCGTATTTCCTCCTGTAAGCCCTGCGTGCAGTGGCCCTGTCTGTACTGACTTTCAGAGGCACTGGTTAAATCAAATCTTTCAAAAGCTCAGCTCGGGCCTCCCTGGTGGTGCAGGGTTAACTCAACTCTATGAAGCTATCAGCAGCCAACCCAAGTTTGATCCCTGGCCAGGGAGTTGACCCACACGGCGCAGCAGACCTCTCCTGTCTCCTCTGCTGCTCCCCTCAGCAGTGTATTTCAGTAGGTCCACATGTTCTGCTCCCCACTCTGTGTCTGGTGAATCCTCTCACCCCCCCACACCTCTGGCCTACACCCCAGTTTTTGTATGCATAAATAAATAACCAAAAAGCCCAGCTAAACCCCAAATTTGCCTGCATTCAGAGTTCACACAGAATTTGAATTGAGGCCTGGCTTGGTCTAGACTGAGAGACGGGGCACCTTTTCCGTGTTTAGGACGCAGACGTACCAGGTTTCAGTTGGAAACTTGCAGACTCTTGACAGATGTAGCCTGTTGCCTGAGGGGAGCCCAAACCTGCCTGTAAGTGCCACCTGCCTGCCCCACAAGCAGAGCCCCCGGCTCTCAACACAGCCAGCATCTGACACCAAGAATGTTCCATTCAACTCTTTTGAGAAACTGGGAAATCCAAATAAACACAGAAATCACTGTTTTTAAAGATCCTTCTAGCACCATCCCTGCCCCAACACAGGCCGATTTGGGGGTCTAGCTGAGATTTTAAAGATTTGATATAGTCCAGATGGCCATAAAGTTGCCTGAGCAGCCCATGCAGGGGCCTGGCGTGGGGCTGGTTTCAGCCAGGGTGCTCACGCCCCTCCTCTGTCAAGACACCTGCCACGTGGGGTTTCTTTCTCCTTTGTGTTCTTTCTCCTTTATGTTCTTTATGTTTCTTTCTCCTTAGTTCTGAGAAGGGTTCTTTGTGGCCTCTTCTCTTGATAAGCTCACCTGGGAAGCACCCAAAGGCCGGTTGTCTGGGCACCTCCCCACACCCCTGCTTTGTCTCTGAGTGTTCTTGACCAGACCTAGGGCCTTTGGAGAAGCTGGCCAGGTCTAGCGTCAGCATGCCCTCAAAACTGACCCAGCGGTGTCCTCTCTCCCAGCACACGCTCACGGGGCACAGCGGCAAAGTGCTCTCGGCCAAGTTCCTGCTGGACAACGCACGTATCGTCTCTGGAAGCCATGACCGGACCCTCAAACTCTGGGATCTCCGCAGCAAAGTCTGTGAGGAAATTCAGTCTCTCTGTCTGTGTGTGCAAATAGATGTGAATCCCAGTGTCTGCCCCCCATCAAAGCCTGCATTTGGTGGGGGGGATGCTGTTTGCATTGCAAGTCTGGTTTCATAAGCAGAGTGTGCTGGGTAGTGAGTCAGTCATGGCGGTACTTCTGCAACCAGCAGTGCTAATTCCCGGGGGAGGTGGTAATGCTGCCTCACAGGCACTCAGCCTCTGCTTGACAGCCGCCATTCGGTTTTCTTTCAGGCATAAAGACGGTGTTCGCAGGGTCCAGCTGCAACGATATTGTCTGCACGGAGCAGTGTGTAATGAGTGGACATTTTGACAAGAAGATTCGTTTCTGGGATATCCGGTATGACCCCCAAAAGCCTGGTGGGGAGGCAGGTGAGGGGCCGGCGCGTAGTAGAGCCACGAGGATGCACGTTAGGTGGGTTGTGTTTTTAATCCCTGGAGACGGCAGGAGTGAACCCAGTGCACATTCGTCCTGACACTTTGCTGTGAAGTCAACAGTCAGCTCAACAGGGCTTCAGCTGGGGCCCGGGGTGGTGGGGGGAGGTGGCAGTGGGCAATGCTTAGGGCAGTGCCTCCCTCTGGGCACAGAATCACTGAGCTGAGTTTCTGGCAGGACCAGCCTGGTCCGTATACAGCAGCCCGGGTCACTGCCTCTTAGACAAGCTAAACAGTGTCACCGAAGCTGAGCTAACCTGATGATAGCCCTGGTTCCTGTGTGCTGAGCAGGAGCTCTGATTGAGTTACTTTGTCGTTCAAAAAATGGCCAAGGGAAACCACTCTTGGCAAGCTCAGAATTGCAGTGTTCGGAACTACCGTTGTGGGGCCCATAAATGGGAAAGCGTGGTTGCTGGAGTCGCTCTGGCTGAGGTGGGAGCCTCTGGAGACGCTGTGCTGGCTGGAGCGCCCTTTGTGCTTCTCCTCCGTGGCTTGACATCCTGTTTAAAAGGGGGATGTTTGACCTTCCCATGTTACATTTTCCCAGACCTTCCATGTCTGTCTCAGGTCAGAGAGTATAGTCCGAGAGATGGAGTTGCTGGGAAAGATCACTGCCCTGGACTTGAACCCGGAAAGGACTGAGCTGCTTACCTGCTCCCGTGATGACCTGCTCAAGATCATCGATCTGCGAATAAATGCTGTCAGGCAGACGTTCAGGTAACTGGAGATGCGCTGGCCCTGCTCTCCGCTCCTGAGCGGCGAGCCCTCGGGTGCTGGACCCGCAGGTGAACGGCCTCTTGTTTGTTTCAGCGCGCCTGGTTTCAAGTGCGGCTCGGATTGGACGAGAGTGGTGTTCAGGTTAGTGGTGCTGCTCCTCCCTCCTTGCTTCACCTCACAGGTTAGAGCCCGGGTGTTTTCCCCAAGGGAAACGAGTTAATGTTCCAGTGTCTTGGTACAGTGAGTGTCTGAGACTGGGCCTGGATGGTCATCACTAGTCACTGTGACTGCCCTCTTCGCCCATCCTGGTGCTTTTTGTGATCACGTTGGAGCGCTGGGCCGCACCAGATGGCAGTGTTGGCTTGTTGGTTGGTCCTGGACAGACACATCACATGCTTACGCAAGACCTAGTTGAGCGCTTTCAGGCCGGCGGCCCCTGGGACAGAGCTGGGAGGCTCCCTGGAGGGGTTGTGCCAGGGTGGCCTCACCTTCCCTTCCCAGCTCTCCTTGTTCCCCATTCGGCTGTGGCCAGTTCCTTTGTTGGAGAAGCTGCTCCCTGCTCTTGTCTCCTGCCCTCCGAGAACCTGTAACAGAGAGGCTGTCAGCTGAAAGAAACCTTTACCTTTTGGGGCTGACTCTGAGCTCCCGTGTGCTGTTTTGGGGCATCAACAGTGGTTAAGGACGTGGCCCCAAGAAGTAATGTGGAGGCTGTGTTCTTCATTAGCTGGGTGAGGCCAAGGTAGCAGGGGAGGTGTGGCTAACACACTGACTTTTGGCACGCACAGAAACCATCTTGCCCTTGAGAAGGAGCAAGGAAACCTTTCCTGGGAAAGGTTCCCGGGGCTGCTGGCGTAGGGGTGGGATGACACCTCCTCTTGTCTGACTGTTCTCCAGCCCTGACGGCAGTTACGTGGCAGCAGGCTCGGCCGAGGGCGCTCTGTACGTCTGGAATGTGCTCTCCGGGAAGGTGGAGAAGGTCCTGTCCAAGCATCACAGGTAAGGTGGAAACTGTGCCCATGAGCCCCTCTGAGGGGCTGAGTCACCCCATCCCCGTCCTGTCCCCTTTGGACTCGACCCACGTTGGCCTGCCAGGGCAGCGGCCCCTCCTTGCTCCATTCTGAGCTGGGTCAGTGAAGAGAAGCCGGGGCCCTTCACTGGGACCGCGCTGCAGTTCTCTGCGACCGCGCTGCAGTTCTCTGCGACAGGCCTGTGAGGGATTCCCGTGGGCCCGCAGCTGTTGGGAGCGGTGCTTTCTGGCCTCGCCTTGTGCGGCGCTTCCTGGCTGCCTCCTTCCTGCGAGCCTTCTCGCTCCCTGGGCCCTTTTGGCCCAGCTGACTTGGAAATGCTGGTTTTCTCATTGCTTTGCTGTCTTCCACATCGCAGCCAGCCAGGCCCCTCCTAGCTTTGTTCTGTCTACCCAGCCCACCCGGCCCCGTCCCGGCCCAGGTTTCCTCCATACCCTTCCCTCTCAGCATTTTTCCTCCTGGCTCTGGCGCCCTGAGGTACTTGTGGAGTCCTTCTCTGCTTAACTCACTCAGCGCTGCCCCTCTGGGTCAGTGCTGTGGCCTGACTCCTTTTCTTCCTGAGTGGGCAGGGCAGGTTTCTTCCAGTCCCAGTTCCGTGAGGGCGGCTGCGGGCCCACAAAGGCCTTGGGGAGAGCCGCCCCTAACGCTTGTTCACTGTGAGCTTCTCCCTTTGAAGCTCCTCAGTCAACGCCGTGGCGTGGTCCCCCTCCGGCTCTCACGTGGTCAGTGTGGACAAGGGAAGCAAAGCTGTGCTGTGGACGGACTACTGACGGCACTTGCTCGGGAGAGAGGGGTCCCAGCTGCCGCCTCACGGGCTCCCGCGGCGCCCTCACAGCAGCGGGTGTGTGGGCATAGTTTTGCCTCCCGGAGAAGACTCGGGCCTGGGGCGCAGCGGCCTGCTTTCCAGTCAGATTTCTGAGGATTTTGACTGACGTCCCACAACCTCAAAGAATCACACTGCGGAGAACCTGACTCCTGGCAGAGGTCGGGTTCTTGGTGCACGACCCGGGTGGGAAACACTACTGGCCCTGGCCTCCTCACCTCAGGGCTCCGCCTCGCCTCGCCAGGAGCCAGTGCCAAACAGCCCACACCTGGGCGCGGCCCCTCCCCTGTGCTTCCTCAGACCTCCTTCCTAGCAGCCCTGGCCTGGTGCATGGCCCGCTCCTGGGGTCCTTCCCCAGGGAATCTGCCGCCGTCATTGGATGGATGGAAACCAGAACACATGGACCACCCTGATTTCTAGGCAGCGGGTCCCGGTTCCCTGCTGGCGCTGTGCTCGTCCCGGCTCCTGATGTCTGCTCGCTGCGGGCACCACCGGCCTCCTGCCCATTCGCCAGCTGCTTTCCCCAGCAAGTCTACACATCTATTAAGAAAACCTCAATTTGGTATTTTTAAAAAAAATTATTTCAAGGTAGGAAAAGTGCAAAAACCTGGGAGAGCGGCAGGAGCGGAGAAGCTATTCCCTCGCACTCCCAGGGCGGGCCCCGCCACCGCCTCTCAGACGCGCCTCCATCACCGGGCAGCGGCCAGGGCCGAGGCCTGGCTCATGGCTGTGGGGCCGAGGCTGCAGTCCCGCCCCCGAGCCTGCGCGGTGCCCTCGGTGCTCTAGTTCCAGAGGCCCCCTGGGTCCGGGGAGCCTGAGGGCATCTTCGATTTCAGGGCTGTGGTCAGGGCCGGGAAACTGGCCTGTGGCTTTTTGTTTTTTTTAACATTTATCTTTACCGTTACACCTGTGTTTAAATTTTTGTTTCTGAATGACTGAGACACCAATATTTCTATCACTTTGATTTTGCACTTTATTTTTTTTCCCTTCCTAACTTCCTGGTGGACGGTTGTGGGGGTGAGTGCCAGGGCGGGCGGGGGGCCAGGTGCGCGATTCCTGACGGGGGCAGCGTCTCCCCCTCCCCTGGCCTCACCTCCCTTCCCCGTCTGCCTTCTTGAGAATGCGAGTTAAGGGGTGAAGGAAGGTGGAATTCACAGGCCAGGGCACATCTTTTATTTATTTAATTATGTTGCCCAACTTGATTGTAAATAAACAAATCTGTTCTATGCTTTTCACACTCGTGCCTCTTGGTGGTTATTTTATTCTCCTTTATCCTTAGAGGGGAGAGGCTGGTTCTCCTGGAGTTGGTTCCTTTGAAATAGCAACCGCCGCGTTCCCGGTGTCTTCTCCGTTAGGAAAAACGAAATCCGCAGTGTCAGCAGTTAGGCTAGCAGCTGTCCCCTGTGCGGTGACGTGCGTTGACCCACTGAACTGTGTCGATGCCTGTTCTAGACGCTGGAGATGGACAAGGGACAAAACAGGCCTAAATTTGTACGTTGCTGTCATTTGACTCACCATGTTCTGGTAATGGTGGGATGTGCCTTGGGGACAGACAGTAAATAAGATAAGTTATTTTGTACCTTGGCTGGTGCTGCATGCTATAGAGGGAGGAAATGCAGAGACAGGAGGCGGGCAGTGTTGGGCAGGTGGAAGGCCAGGGTGTAAGGTGGAGCAATGACCTGAAGGAGTGAAGGGAGGAGCCAGGTGGTGGCTCTGTGCAAAGAATAAGTGCAAAGGCCCTGAGGCAGTTGGAGGAAAGGCGCAGGGGCCAGTAGAAGGGAGTGAAGTAGGAGAGGAGGTAAGGAACAAGGCCAGAGGTGGGAGAGCCTCAGGGCCTGGCAGGCATTGCCCAGACCTAGGCAGGATGCCATTTGGGGTACTTTGCGATGTGCTAACACCATGCACCCCACAACCCCAGAAGAGTCTTTGGCTCAGACGTCCTTCCCAGACCCCAGGTCAAGTCCAGCATGCAAAGGCGGTAGTGGCCACTGCCTCCTGTTCCTCTCCCTCCCTAGGTGCTGCGGGCACAGCTGTTGCTCTGGGCACTGGAACACAGAGGCGAGGAGCCCTCTCTCGTGAAGCCTGGTGTCCAGAGAGGGGAGACAGATGCAAAATCACCTCCCAAGCAAGCATCAATGCCAGCGTGTCCCTAGCCTGGCCCAGGCAGTCGGGGAAGGTCCCCTGCGGGAGAGACTCCTGAGTGCCAAGAATCCAGGAGGGGAGGTGGGAGGAGGATTATGTGGGGGCAGAAAGTGCCAGGCAGGTGGAGTTGTAGAGATCTGTCCCCGGAGCAGGGACGAGCAGAGGTGGGCAGGCAGTCTCACCTCAGCGCCTGAGGATGGGCTGACGGGGCAGTGGACGCAGGGCCGCGGAGGGCAGGAAGCAGCTGGTGGGGTGGCCTGGACCTGGCGTGGGGGGGCGTCCATGGAGGTGAGGTGAACGCACACGGGGTGAGCGTGTACCAGGGAGAGGGGGAGGGACCTGTGACAGTGTCGCCGAGCTGGACGGAGGGGCTCATCTTGAGGCTGTCAAGGCTGTCACTTCTCAGCCTTTTTCTTTATATCTCCACCCCCAGGGTCGCATTAGCCGCCTGCTGAGTTCAATCAAGTCTGCTCAGCACTTGAAAATCCCCTGTCCTGGTGATCCTGGGGTAAAGGGATAATCAGTCTATTTTCAGAGCCCAAAGAGGGTTAGGATGAAAGCAGCTTTCCTGCCCACCATCCCTGCCCACAGCACCCCCACCCCTCAAGTGAGCCTGAAGCTTCCTGAACCCGGGAGAGCCCCGGGGAACAGACGGGCGCCCTTGCTTCATGCTCAGAACTGCTGAAGCCACCAGGTCACCCTTCTCGCCCTAACCCAGTTTCCACTCTGCTCCACAAATAGGATTTAGCTTTTGGACATTCTGACCCAAGTGCCCGGCCCCCCTTCAGGTTCCCTACAAATTCTCCGAGCCATCAGCCAGGGCCTGTCTCCCCTGCTTAGCAGTGGACTCAGCACAGGCCCGGCTGTCCGCCCGGACGGCCATCCCCACGCGTTGTACGGGGTATGTAAGAATCGGGGGGCTCAGGGACGTGCGGGGCCGGGGGTCGGGTTTCCGTTTCCTCGGCTGCCCTGGCTTCATGTGGGCTGTGTGTGTCCCCTGACGTGCTCTTGAGGGTGGTCGAGGGCGCTGAACTCGGCAGCCCAACAGCACTGGCCGCCGTGACGCTTGGAGCAGCAGCAGCACACCCAGCGCCAGTCGCTGGATAGAACTTGGGGTGAATTAGCATGTTTTGAACATGATACCAGCTGGAGACCAGCTGTGATGCGGTTTTCAGGAACGTTCTTCTGTTTTGGGGCCACAGGGCCTCATCATGACAGAATTTAATTCAACACGGCCATGTGTGAAGAGACCAAATCGGTCAGAAGCAAAGGCTCTGTGCTGCGACCTGGCCGGGCGCCTGCTGTCCCTGGGAGGGGCTGATGCCCGTGGGAGCCCCACGCACACTAGACAGAGGCCTGTTAGTCAGACGTGGATGCTGGGCCAGCGGGGGAGGACCAGGTTCTGTGCCCAGGATGTCCCTGACTTTCCCTTCAGGATCCGCTTACCTCCCCAGCCTCTCAGCACCTGACCCGGGACCCACCCAGCACTGCCGGAGCTGCCATGGCCACCGCCGGGAAGGCCAGTAAGTCTGCGTCGGACTCTGTCATCTTCAAGAAGGTCTCCCGGGACAAATCGGTGAGTGCGCAGGAGTGAGCTGCTCGATGAAACCACCGTTGACAAGAAAATAAGGGCCTTTTTTAAGACTAGACTCCACCAACCCCAAGCCCCATAAGGATGAGGGAAGCCCGTGTCTGTTCTCATCTCTGAGATGGACCGTCAGGGGCTGAAACGACCGAGTGAACAGCAGGCCACGTCTCTCCTGTCTCAGCCATTTCAGTTCCGAGACCCTTCATTTTCTCCTCATCTCAATTCTCCCCAACCCCTTACCCAGACTCGTCCCCAGATGACCTTGAACCATGACTCAGCACTTCAAACACTTGTCAGTCCCTGTGACTCATTTGACCCTGTGTCCTCTCCCCTGCCTGCCTGATGGGAGCCTGGATCTGCAGCGGCAACTCCATCCCCTGCTGTGCCCCTGCCCCGGGCACCCCCCATGATGACAAAGCTCCATAGGCCTCCAGGGCCTCTGGACAAGGGACCTGCCACTGTCACTGCCTGGCCAGTAGCGCACAATGGCCTGTGCTCGGCAGACATGGCCCCCGGCTCCATCAGGGACAACTTAATGGTCCAGGTGTGCCGAGAACCTCCTGGCCTGGGTCCTGACGGGGGTGGGTTCTCCTTGCTCCAATCCATGGCTCCTGGGGGCCAGGGACCTCAGCGCTGTCCAGTGCAAGCTGACTATGTAATTTTAAATGTTCTAGTAAAGTAGCCACATTAAAAAAATACGAAGAAACAGAATTGGGCGGTTGAGCACTGGGCTGTGAAGCTGCCCGCAGCCTCTGCGGCACTGGTTCCATCTCCGGCCGCTGGTGAGGGTCCCACATGGTGCGACAGACCTCTCCTGCCGCACCCGCTGCTCCCCTCAGCAGTGTGTTTCATCAGTCTGCCTGTTCTGTTCCCCTCTCTGGCTCTGGTGAATCCTCTCACCCTCCCGCGCTTCTGACTGTACCCAGTGCTTAAATCAATCAATCAATCAATCAATCTTAAAAAAAAACAGAATTTTTTTTTTTAAAGATTTATTTATTTATGCATGCAAGAACTGGGGCACAGGCCAGAGGAGAGGTACGGGGGGTGAGAGGCTTCACCAGAGACAGAGTGGGGAGCAGAATAGGCAGATTGACTTAAATACACTGCTGAGGGGAGCAGCGGGCAAGTCAGGAGAGGTCTGCTGTGCCATGTGGGTAGCTCCCTGGCCAGGGATTGAACTTGTGCTGCAGTGGCTGCGGATAGCTTCATAGGTTGTGTCTTAACCCTTTGAGCCACCAGGGAGGCCAAGAATTATTTTATTTTTAAATTTTAAGTTGAAGTTAATTTTTAAGTTGCCTATTTATATTATATAAGTGTGAGGAGTGCATCATTGGATTTTTTTTTTTTTAAAAAACAATTATCTTTTATTTTTGCATAGGTCAGAGTTCCTATCCTATTTATAGTCAGGAATTTATTTTAATACTATATTTTTTTGACCTAACAGAGCCCGAAAACTAGCACTTCAACATGTAAATAGTATAAAAATTCTTGAAGACTTATTTCACCTTTTTCTAAATCTTTTGAAATCTGATTCTACATTTCTAGCCGTGTCAGCTAGGAGTGGCCACACTTCAAGTGTAGTAGCTGTCTGTCTGTGACTAGTGGTTGTGGTGTCAGACAGGGTGGATCTAGGTCATTCTTCTAGCAACTGCTTTTTTTTGTTTTTTAAGATTTATTGATTTATACAAGAACTGGGGTACAGTCAGAGGTGCGGGAGGGTGAGAGAATTCACCAGAGACAAAGCGGGGAGCAGAACAGGCAGACGGACTGAAGGCACTGCTGAGGGGAGCAGCGGGCGAGGCAGGAGAGGTCTGCCGTGCCTTGTGGGTTTCTCCCTGGCTGGTCAGGAATCAAACCCGCGCCGCAGAGGATGCAGACAGCTTCACCACGCAGCACTCAACCCGCTGCGCCACCGGGGAGGCCCCCTTCTAGCAACTTCTAAAGCCTGAAAGGAACCCTGAAGCAGCCTCCCCTCAATCCCCACTGTGCCACCCACGAGTATCAGGCCTTGCTGGCGCTTTCTCCCCTCCCGCTCCCAAACACCATTGCTTTCATCATAAGCTGGGCACCCCAGTCTTTTATTCTCCGCAGTCTTCCCCACCTTGCTCATTCCTGGAGTGCTCTATTCTGACCGAGGAGGAGAGGACCACCTACCCCCACTGGGCCAAATTACACCCCTCTCTTTTCTTCCTCACACCAGGAAGAGACATTCATTGACGTGAGAAATACAGAAATTTTTCTTGTATAGAAGGGAGAAAAATAATTCATCGGTGACTGTCACATGTTGGAATCGTATCCACTGCCATCTCGGACCCCAGTGCAGTCTCCCAGGGCCTCTGCTCCCTTTCTCTGTGATTCTCTCTACTCCACCTTCTGTGATCTTTGTCCTCAGGCTGCTGGCTACATAGGTGCCCCTGCTCCAGATGTCTCATCTCTCTTCTTTGTAGGAACTGGGGCTTCCTGAGGTCTCTTTTTGAGAGTGAGGAAGTGGTTCCCAACAGCCCTCCAAAAGACTTCCATTTCTTGGGTCAGAACTGATCCTGGACTCCCCCAAGCCAATCCCAAGCCAAAAGAATAGATGATCATAACTGGATCCAGCCAGTCAAGAACTGTCCACTGGGGCTGGCCTCCTCCTAGCATGTCACCACAAGGGGAAGATGGGCCAGAACACAACTGGTGACTTTCATTCAGGGACAAGGGTCGTTGGCTGGAGGGTGGGCAGGTAGCACACCAGCTACGGCCTCACGTGGTTCTCCACCTGCTCCTGCCCCTTCCCTCCCCTTCCAGTTGCAAAAGAAAGTTGCCTTTGCTTTGTTTGAGGCACCTGCTTCTTATACCCTGAAACTCGTGGCCCACCACCTCCTTAGTTCCTCCTGTATCACTTCTCTCTTGGGCTTATCTGCACCCCTCTCTCTGCCACCACTTTGAGTATAAAAATCAGTATGTCCTGTATCTCCACAACAAACAAGCTCCCTTGAACCCCGGCCCCTTTCTTGCTCCCATTCTTGCACAGCCAAAGCTTGAAAATGAACCTTTCCTCCCATTCACAATTCAGTCCTCCACCTCCCATCCATAATCACTTACCTAACCTGTTTCCCTTTGCCAGTCCACTTTGCTGCTAATGTGATTGTAGTCCTAGTGTTCTCCATAAAATGGGGTGAGCCCCTGTCTCATGGATTTGCTGTGAGGATTATGTGAAATAATGCAAAGTGCTTATCTCGGCACCTGGCACATGATATGCACCCTAAATATTATTTAACTGCATGTCTTTTATTCTGCCTGAAATATTAGATTCTTTGCAGTCAGTTCCTATAAGACCCTTTCTGGCATCAGCTTGAATCCCTTTTGGTGAACATTCATTTGCAGATGAAACCACTGGCAGTCCCAGAAGCATTCTCTTGGCTCTGGACTTTATAAACAGATTTGTTTTGGCCCAGAAAGCACCTCCTGACCACCTAATCCCCTCACCACCAGTTCCAATCACCTCGTCGCACTGTCCTTCTGGTACTTCGACATCATAACACAAATAACTTAGAAAGTATAGAGGCACCCAATAGGAGGGTGTAGGTATAGGAGATAATTTAATGCCAACAGAAATGATATGGGGGTTCATGGAAATAAAAATATGAATTTAAGAGGCTGGGGAATGGGGAGCCAGCCAGGGTGTGCACATTCAGTCGTTGGTACACTCAGGCAAGGTTGGTTGAATCCCTGTTCCGTATCAGACACTGCATTTGGTAGAAGCCATGAGAGCTGAAAGGTGAATTAAGACACAGTTCTTGCCATCAAAGTGCTCGTAGTCCCTTGGGTTAAAGTGGTAAGTGGTGGTGAGCTCAGACCACGCTTTCACACAAAGAGGCTGGGACAAGAGGCCTTCACTGCCAGGGGCATGGAGACAGACCAGACAAGGGTTGAGACAAAGGTCAATGTCCCCACCCAAATTCCTCCCCCTTCCTCAGAGCACGCGTTCAGTTTTACCTGTACAGAGGTTCATCTGGTAGGATTTTGGTTCTTTTAACAAGAAGGATAAACCTTTTATTCTCAGATAGAAATAATCGGCTTACCATGTAAATGGGTGAGAGAAGCCTTGTTTGTGTGGGTTTAACTTTCCACTATGTATTATCAGTTAATTCAGCAAGTTTACCTGGCTGATGTCAGACCTGGGCTTGATGGTGGGGAGAACAGTGACCATCCATGGGATGGTGGGGGGGAGTGGCAGGAATTCCTTGGAGCAGATCTGTGAGGCTGTGGAAAGAGCACACCTTGCCTGTAGTCCACCGCAGAGCAGGGAGACAGGAAGCGATGGATGAGCTGCAGTGCCAGGGTGGGCTCTCAGTCAGACAGCTCCTCTTCTTAGGATGAATCAACATATTTTTAGTGGCTGTCCTTTTTATCATGAATGTCTGAGCTTATGTACTTTGATCATTTAGGATCCACACCCATTCTTCCCACAGGTGACCATCTACCTGGGGAAGAGAGACTACATAGACCATGTTGACAAAGTTGAGCCTGTGGGTAAGTTGAGTTTGGAGTAAGATTTTAATGCTGATGCCCCTCTCAGTCATTAGACTTCTGCTAGTTTTGTATTTTTGAAGCGTGACTTTGTTCATCATCTAATCAAAGAAATGCAAGTTAAAATCAGGGAGGTACCATCAGCTGACAGGAAACAATTCTAAATAGTGTGGAAAAGACAAAGGACTCATATCTAGAATATATAGACTACTCAAAACTCAACATTAAAAAAAGTTGAACTGGAACGTAGACAAAAGATGTAAAGGGCTACTTCATCAAAGACGATATCTGGGCAGCACATAGGAAAATTTCCATTAGGGAAATGCCAATTAAAACCATGGTGAAATATTATATACCCATCACAACAACTAAAATTAAAAAATAGTGATAACCCCAAATGCTGGTGAGGGGGCCTCCCCAGTGGCACAGTGGTTGAGCGCCGGGTTGCGAAGCTGCCCGCAGCCTCTGCAGTGCCGGTTCGATCCCCGGCTGCTCCCCGGCCACCGGCGGAGGGTCCCACATGGTGTGCAGACCTCTCCTGCTGCCCGCTGCTCCCCTCAGCAGTGTTTGTCATCCTCCGCAACGGATGGTGGAGGGGTAGGTGGAACTAAAGGGACCACCCAAGGGAGGTCTCTGTGCTGAGGGAGGGTTCTGATCTAGATTGCAGTGGCAGTTGCAGGAGTCTCCAAGGGTATTAGAATAACCTTGATGAACACGTGATACCCAGCCAGTGTCCTGGGTTTCATAGGACACTATAATTATCAAAGACTTAACCATTTTAATGCCTGGTTGTAGGACATGGGACCTCTCTATATTATAGTGCAACTTCCTGTGAATCTGTAATTTTTTCAACCTGCAAAATTTTTTTGTTTGTTTTTGTTTTTGTTTTATAAAACGAGTGTAAAAAGCCAGCATCTTTTCAGGCACAGGAGATGTGCCCCTCAGCAAAACCCGTTCTGACAGGTCATGTGGTGGTGTGTCAACAGCCAAATCCAACTGTCATGGAGACAGAGAGAGATTTCTCTAGAAAGATGCTTGTGGCAGTGTTAATTATAATGTGAGAAATTAGAAATAACCCAGATGTCCTACCAAGAGGGATTTAGTTAAATAATTCACCATACATCTGTTCCGTGGAGCAACACTCTGCCATTAAAATGACTCATAAATACTGTCGGTGTACATGAGTGTGCATGTGTGTGTGTGTGTGTGTGTGCATGTGTATGAGTAGATGTTTGCGATATGTATTTAGGCAAGGAAAGCACTTAAGGGAATAGTAAGTGCAATGGGATATCATTTTCCTTGTGAAAAACACTCCTTTAAGTGCATCTACATCTGGAAAAGGATCCAGCACTGATATGTGGCCAGTGGTGTGTGTGGGGTGGAAATTTGGGGGACATTGTCTTCTCTGCCTCTGTCTGCTGATGCAGGCCTCAGGGGCAGACACCAAGCTGATCTTTCATCGCCATCCTCCTGCGCTCTCTTTTGTGGTAGATGGTGTCGTGTTGGTGGATCCTGAGCTGGTGAAGGGAAAGAGAGGTGAGGCATAAAACCCAGAATTCTCTGTTACACTCTCCTCACCATCTACCCAAGCTGCAGCCTCCCCAGGCAGCAGCCTCGAGCTCTGGCAGCGCAAGTGGCAAGTCACTTGTTACTACGGCAGCTGTGCAAATTCAGTTCCAGCAGATTTGCCTTACGATGGTGTCACTGACTCAGTCCCGTTCTAGACATGCCTTCTGGAGCGGTTGCTACCAGCAACCGCAGGGAATTGTTCCCAGCCTGGGTGTGGAAGGTAGCACAGATGGACGGGCACGGCAGAAACGGGCTGCCAGCCACCCCTGTGTCTCCAGTTCCCCCAGGTCCCGCTCTCCCTAACCCTGGGGGAAGAGGTTCCAGCCCTGGAAGCCCCCACCCCTATCTGGGAGAGGTGGGTGGACTTGAGTCTGCTCTGGCACCTTCCTCTTCGGGACATGGGGAGACACACGAAATCCTCAACTTACAATAGCCACGAACTTGGGGGTCCCCTCCTGACATGCTCTCTGTTCAGGACTAGGGCAATCCCGCTGCTTTGCATTTCGCAGCAGACAGTGGTGCGCTGACCCTCCCTGGTGCAACTGGTGCAGGAGCAGGGGGGCACAGGCGGACACAGGGCTCTCTCTCTGCCAGTGCACCAGCCGCGCTGGGTCAAAGTGAATTTCCAGCAGTTCTGGCTTAGAGCTCTGTTGTGGCAGGATGGCCACAGAGCAGGTTGTCTATGATTCAGGCAGAACAACTGCAGGTGCCCCATCAGGCAGGGAATCCTAATGGTGGGAGGGCAGAAAACCCTAAAAACCATTTATCCTACACTGCACTATATGTAAAAGCCCAATAAAAGCCTGAGAAAGCCACCGAGGGCTCCAGGACTCTCCTTTACCCGTCTGCCGGATCATAGCTTCCTGCTCAGTGCCCTTCCTGCCCCTACATGCAGCAACCAGGTATGTGGCAGGCAGAGGTGGGGGTGGGGGGAGGGCAGGAGGCCAGTAGGCCTCCAAGCCCCCAACAAGTCTTCAGTCCGGGCTTCTCTGGTGTTCTTTCTCCCCTTCTCTCTCCTGCGCTTCTTGCCTCTGTTTCTCTTGGTGAATATCTCAATACTGAGCCACGGCCCGCAGAAGTAAGCAACACAGCTTACGACAGTGAAACAAATGCAGGTGCCCCCGCTGGCAGGGCACTCCTAATGGCAAGAGGGCAGAAAAGCCTGAAAATTGCTTATCTAAGCAGAGGGTCCCTGCTGGGTGTGCTCCCGCCGTCCCCTCCCCCACAGGCCCCTCTGGCCCCTCCCCCACACTCAGCTCAGATGCCAAACAGCTCTGCTCCCTGGCATGGCTCCTTTCCTTCCCCAAGCTTCACCCTAAGAACCCCGTGGCCTCACACTGTCTAACGGCCTCTCTGAGGTCACAGAGCTGGTCTGGAGGAGGGAGGTGGGATGAGGAAACAGTCAAACAGCAACATCATGTGGGTTCTGGCAGGTATACCCCAGTCCTCTGACGTGCCCCTTAGAGGAAGCAGCACCCTGAGGAAGGCAGGTGCTCCCTGGGTTTGTGGGTGGATCACTGGGGAGTGTGGGTCTCCAAGCCCACCCCCTCTGGATGCTGGGCTGGAAGCCACGTCCAAAGGGGTGGTGGTCCCTCCAGGCAGACTCAGAGGGCCCCTGCCACCCGGGTGAGCCCACCCTCTCTCGACCCCCTTCCAGTGTACGTCTCTCTGACCTGCGCCTTCCGCTACGGCCAGGAGGACATCGATGTCATCGGCCTGACCTTCCGCAGGGACCTGTACTTCTGCCAGGTGCAGGTGTTCCCGCCAGTGGGGGACGCGAGCTCCCCCACAAAACTGCAGGAGAGCCTGCTCAAGAAGCTGGGGGCCAACACGTACCCCTTTCTGCTCACGGTGGGTGACTCCTCCAGCTCCTTCACCCTGCACCTTGTCACGTGCCACAGAGCGAGGCAAAAGGCGCGGGGTCACGACTCACATTTGTGGGCTTCAAATTGCACCCTCAGAGGAAATTCTAGATTGCACGGGCTGTGGTTGTCTTTTTTTTAAGTCCTCAAAAATAGCCTCCCAGCCTTTGAAGGGACCGTTTCGTTTCAACCTACGGTTTAAATATTTCCCTTGGTCCCACCACCTAATTACATGTGCATGTGTTTGCGCGCTCGGCTATAAAAAGAAAGAGGAAAGAGTTTCCCTTGGGACAGGAGCTCTCAGAGAAATAAGCCTGTTTGCAGCTGCAGGGCTCATGGTAGATAAATGGCTTCATCTCCTGGGCCCAAGTTCCCCCGGCCAAAGCTGCTCTCTGAGCATGGTGTGAACTGGCTGTGGCTGCAGCTACCACTACCCTCCTTGTCCCCTCCTCACTCGCTGGGGAGGGGGCGGGTCGTGTCTTGAGAGCTGATATCCCTGCAGGGTCACATTGCCCAGCCTCGGAGGGAAAGCAACCCGACACCTCTTCTGTCAGTGTGGGCCTGGGGACCCAGAGTCTCCAGAGTCCCAGGCACAGAAAGCAGCATAGAAGCCACCAGGGCTGTGGGAGGAGGGAATTGGGGAGCAGTGCTTCAGTTTGGGGTGATGAAGACATTCTGGAGACGGAAGGTGGGGGTCACTGCAGAGCAGCATGGATGCCCTTAATGCCACCATGTGGTATGGGTAAAATGCTGAGTTTTGCGTATATTTGACCACACTTCTTTTTTTTTTTTAAGATTTAATTTTTTTATTTATGCATGCAAGAGCTGGGGTGTAGGCCAGAGGAGCAAGGGTGAGAGGATTCACCAGAGACAACAGTGGGGAACAGAACACATGGATCTACTGAGATACACGGCTGAGGGGAGCAGCGGGCGAGACAGGAGGGGTCTGCTGCGCCATGTGGGTCACCTCCCTGGCCGGGGATCAGTGGCTGCGGGGGCTGCAGATAGCTTCATGGTGCTGAGACTTGTGCCACCAAGGAGACCCACACGCTTACTTTTTTAAAAATCACACTTAAAACAATAACACGGTCCCAGTTACTCCTGTACCCTCAGATGGGGAGTTTGAAGTGACACAAGCTTCTGGAGACATGTCAGGATGTAGCCAAACCTCCGCCATGTGATCTTGACCCGAGTTTCCTCTGGTCCAATGTCACCTGTGGGGTTCATTGGATAAAGCTCAGACTGACTGAATTAAACGGGGCGGAGGGAGGACCGAAGCCATGAGCCTGGTGGTGCTAGTTCATTTCATGACGTGCAAATTGGACCTAAGGCCGCCCAAGTAAGTTTGGGTTGGCGAAGTGAGCAGACGAGATGGCACCCTGGGCGTCCTCGGGCCACACTTCTGTAACACACATGCTCACACACACATGGGCAGGTGCACAGCGGAAATTTCTGGAAGTTGAGGTTAACAGCATCGCTCTGAGCATCGAGGGGTGTTTTCCAGCTGCCAGGCAGTGGGTGCACGGCCGGGCCAGGGCCCTTCACATGAGAGATCCTTTGTCTCTCCCCAGTTTCCCGACTACCTGCCCTGCTCCGTGATGCTGCAGCCAGCCCCGCAAGATTCAGGGAAGGTAAGTCCAAGAAGAAATGGCCTGGGTTCATTTGCTCCTTCAGGGAAGGGTGGGGTCGGGACCTTGGGGTCTCCAGCACTGGCATTTGTGGGTCCCCTTACCCAGGGGCCCCTGCATCTGCCTCCACCACCGGCGGGCAGGGGGTCAGTGACACACTCAGACACATCTGAGGATGGTGACGTGGGGGACTGGCTGGATGCAGCCCCCGGGGGTACCCAGCAGGCCCGCCCATCCCATCTGATGTCATTAAGACATCACCAGTGAACTTCAAAGTCTTGCCTTAATGGCGCCACCCTACAAAGCTCTGGCTGAGACAAAAAGAAGGTGCCGTGTCGTGACCCCGCTCACGTGAGGCGGGGCCCCAGCCCAGCCCCGGGACCAGGCGCTGAGCTGCGCCTGCTCTCCACCTGCAGTGCTGCGGGGTGGACTTCGAGGTCAAAGCCTTTGCCACGGACAGCACAGACCTGCAAGAGGACAAAATTCCCAAGAAGTAAGAGTGCATTGCAGGGCTCCGGGGGGCTGGGAAGAGGGAAAAGAAACCACCCCCTACTTTATCTCCGCCAGGCTGGGTCTGGGTCTCCCAGGTCAGGGCAGTTAGGCCCGAGCTGCCTGCACGCAGGGTGGGGGTGATGGCAGATCCTGCCGGGGAGAAGACAACGACCGGCCATCCGCCACCTCAGGGCGGTTTCCCGCTTTCTTCCCTTTGCAAGACTTCATTGTGGCGGCGAGGAACGTGGAGTTTGGCACTTCAGCCATTTTCAAGTGCACAACACGAGGGCAATAAGCCAGATACTGTGCTGGGTAGACTGGTCCCCCCTCCCCCCATATGGGGGTCCCTCTCCATCAGCAGACTCCCCTCCTCCCAGGCCCCCAGGCGCCCAGCCCCGGCATTCAGCTTCTGGGACCTGGACAAGGCGTCGGGCTGTGGCCATAGCACACGCCTCGCTCCGTGGACACGTCCAGTCTCCTGAGCACAAATAGCCACCTCCCTGCATCACATTTGTAGGGCTCTTTGAGGCACCACGTGAGGCACATCCGCATGGCCAGCTCCCCCCAAGAGCAAGCCCAGCCCGAGGGTCCTAACAGAGGGCTAGAGTGACCCTCGGGAGAGCTGGCTGACCCCCAGCAGAGAATGGATGGGGACCAGGTCCTCCAGCCCTTGTTCAGGCCTTCTCTGTGGGCCCGAGTCACGCGTGTGTGTGTCTGTGCATATGTGTGTGTGTAGGGAGGGGGTCCTGACAGGGCCCTGGGTCTCCCCCAGGGGATCCGTGCGCCTGCTCATCCGCAAGGTCCAGCACGCGCCCCTGAAGATGGGCCCCCAGCCGCGGGCGGAAGCCACCTGGCAGTTCTTCATGTCAGACAAGCCCCTGCAGCTCTCGGTCTCCCTCAGCAAAGAGGTGAGGCCCCCCCTGCTGTCCCGGGCTGTTGTAGGACACCCGTGTCTGGGTATATGGTCAAAGCCAAGGTCTGTGAGCAGCTGGCTCTGTCCCCATAATTTGGGGTTAGTCAAAGTTGCCCTTCTCCTTCTGCTCATTGTCTGTCCTGACTCACGGGGGGGGGGCTTCACTGCTCCCCAGGCCATGCTTGCCTTGCCGGACCCTCCGGTCCAACCTGCACACACCTGTTGTAGGAGCCCCCACTTGGTGTGTACCTGTCCGGGCAGGGGGTGCTTAGGGCCAGCAGGAGCCTCAGCTGGGCCTCCACTGCCCCCGGCTCCCGCAGCTTCCTCCACTGCCCCTCTCCTGCTCCAGCGACCTCGTGCGAGATTCTGCTGGCAGAGCCCGGGCCCTGTCTATGGGGCCGCCTTGTCCCCCGTGTCCCACAGACACCCAGAACGAGCTCCAGGCACTCCTCTGAAGGAGCGAATGCTGCGCCTCATCTTCCTGAAAGCCGGGACTTGCGCCCTTTGTTCTGGTGAAGGTCGAGGCGACCTCAGCCGCGTGCTCACGCCCCCGTCCTGGCCGCGCTCTGACTCCCTGCTCACTTGTTAGATCTACTTCCATGGGGAACCTATCCCCGTGACCGTGACCGTGACCAATAACACAGAGAAGACCGTGAAGAAGATTAAAGCGTCAGGTAGGGCCCTCTTCTCCGGCTGGAGGCCAGAGTCTTCCAAGTGCCTCTGCCTGGCAGGGGATTCCCCAGGGCTGGGCTCTGGCAGGAGAGGCCCCGCCTGTCTGTCCTGCTGTCTGGAGGGCGTGGCCACAGGGAGTGGCCTTCAGGGTCACCCAAGGCTTGGGACACGCCCCCACCCGGCCCAGCGCCCACGCCATGTCCTTGGGGAGCCCTGCTGTGGGGGGCAGTCTCCTGTCTGGGATCAGTGGTGGTTTCTGCGGACAGAGGCCCAGTGTGGGGGGAGCACTGGCCTGGGACATGGGCCTACTGGGGACAGTGCTGGGGGTTCCGGAGACTCACAGTGCCCCTCCTGGCCTGTCTTCCAGGGCTTTGTGAGGGCCTGAGGCCTCGTCACGCATGAGAGTGACCATTTGTGAGCGACTGTCACCCCCTCCCCCTGTGTAAGGGCGTGTACAAGCCTTACCAAGTATAAGGGCTGGGTCCTGCCCCACGTTCCCTCATCTTTCTCAGCTCACAGGCATCAAAGGGCAGGCCCTGGGCTCAGATCAACTTACTTGGGGCTATGTAAAGCAGACACGACAGAGTGACCGGTGAGGGTAGGGTGGCCTCTGAGCTCACTGCTAGCACAAATACTCGCGGACGGCGGCCCGAACTGAGGATGCCAGACTGCGTGGGGCGAGTCCCAGCCAAGCCAGGGTGGTGGTCCCGTGGGGACCACGTTCTTCTTGTGCTGTGTCCGGCGTAGAGAAGACTCGGAATCTGGATGCAGACACAGTAGCGAGTAACTGTTCTCAGACTGACGGGAGCCTTTGATTCGTGGCTTTGTTCTCTTGGATCAGCTCTGGCACTGCGAGGCACTAGTCAGGGTCCAGTGAGCCCCAGAGGAGCAAGGCTGGGATGGTGTCGAAGGACACCTTGATTTAAAAAGAATTCTCAAAGCTTCATGTAGCCTGACAGCGGCGCCACTGAGTTTTGAGCGCGGCCGCTGGACCTTCCAGGCATGACAGCAGCAGCTTTCTGTGGGCGGGGACGGGGCTGAGCTTCTCTGACTGCTCCCTTCATCCTCACAGTAGATTTTAGCAGAGATTAAAAATTGTCCGTGAATCATCACCACACCCACGTGGTAAGACGCAGGGATCACCAGCCCTTTGGCTGATGTGGATGTTGGGCTTTCGAGCGGCTTGTTTCTTGCCCCAGAACTGACAGCTAAGCTGGGCCTGGAGCTCAAGCTCTGGCCCCCGATTCCTCCCCCTGCCACCCGCCAGTCGACCCCGTGCTGCCTGCAATGAATTCGAGCTTGGAAACGGGGGAGATGCCTGTCAGCTGGGGGGCCGGGTGTGGAGGAGGGGTGCGTGGTGAGCGTGCCTGGGGCTTCTCCGGGCTCCCCGTGTCAGGAGACGGGCTCCTGGGTGGGGGCTGACACCAAGCAGGTGATCGCTGGACGAAAGTGGCCTCAGAAATCTCAGCCTGGACGCTCTGAGCTCAAAAGCCCAGCCTGAGAAGTCCCCTCAGATGGTCATTCCTGAGGCCTGAGCAACCGCGTCCCCCAAGGCCGCAGCCCATGTGCAGGGGCCTCACCTCCCCCCCCCCCCACCTCTTCGCAGTGGAGCAAGTGGCCAATGTGGTTCTCTACTCCAGCGACTATTACATCAAGCCGGTGGCGGTGGAGGAAACGCAGTGAGTAGCGGCGGGCTTCGGCTTCCTGGGCGGCCCGGACCCCGGCCGAGTTCCCCTTCTGTTCTTGCTGAAGAGGGAAGTAGCGGCCCAGGCACTTCATCTCCTTCTCCTTTTCCCACCTCAGGGGCTGCAGGGCCTTCGGCCCTCAGTTCTGTTGCCCTCAGCGTCCTGGGACTGGGCAGGCGGAGGAAGGAGCTGAGGACGGGAGCAAGGCTGGGCACAGCTGACACTTTGTGTTTGGCGTTGCATGAGCTAGGAGAGCCCTGGCCCCTTTCAGCGCCGCCCACCAGCCCCGTCCAGGCGTCTCCATCTTCTGCTCTGCCCCTCAGTCCGGAGAGCTCGCAGCAGTGATCAGGGTGCCGCGTGGGTCCCAGGAGGGGGCCGTGCACGTGCTCTCCCCTGGTGGGCTCAGGGCCACACGGGCCCCTGTGACGGCTTCACGGGGGTGCGAACGACCCAGCTCACTTTGTCTGGGAAAGGGTTTGCTTTAACACACAGGCTTCGGGGGGCTGTGATTCCCCCCGCCCCAGAGGACCGAGAAGGCCCCTTCCTCTGGTGTCGACCCTTTGGGTTGTGAGCGCTGTTGCATGTAAACACCCACCGCTTCAGGCAGAAAGACGCCATGAGGACGACATAGGTTACATAGTGTTGAGAAGGTAACTTGGGGATAAACTCTTAGAGCAGATCCAGACTCACGTGCAAACAGCCATCTGAGGGGAGGCGGGCAGGAAGGAACCAGAGCACGCCAGACGTCTGCTCTGTCTTTCAGTGTGCCGCTGGCGCACCCTTGTCCTGGGGGGTCCCATCGCTCCCATGCTCAACACAATGGGCGACCCCTGATGGGTTTTCTCCTAAGTCGCTCCATTCTCTGGTCTGCCGCGGACCAACGCAGCGGTAGACTTGCAGGACTGTCTCAGGATTGAGAAACTGTGAGGATGCTCAAGGAATCGGCGCATAAATGACAGACAGACACACAAATGACAAACAGACACACTTCAAGAGTGAAGATCTGAATGTAATTTGCTCAAAATCATCATACACTTTTATACCTTTTTTAACAATGGATGATTTCATACAATTTAATTCTTTCTCAGCATAAAATACTTTGTAAGGCATAAGACATCTACTTCATTATTCATGTGCATGTGATCGCTGTTCCATGACATGGCACAGTAAACAATCTCCAGGTACTGAATCTACACAATCGTTTTTGCCTACACCGAACAGCATTCTTTAAGCTAGCTTTTCTTGATTCGTATCCCAAAACCACAATGATCAAAAAGCATTAATATTTACCTACTGGCACCTTCTACTTTTAGTGATCACGAGCAATATATTCTCTACGTAAGCATTTTGATTTTTATGGTGTTGTCTCATGTGAAAAGTATTATGATTATTATAAAACTACCATTGCCACACACTATTTTCTTTATCATGCATTTCCTGAAACTGATTGTACACATATAAAGAAAAAGCAAAGTAAGTGAAAAAGTAGTATGATTATAGACAGGTTGCTAGGTTGCTACTTATTCTGAAACAATGGCTATCTGATTAATGGTAAAACTGCTTTGTAGGTAATTCCATCAGGCTTGTTTGCAGGTGACGTTCTTAGCAGCCTTGTTTCCATCAAAGGAGGGGTTAATTACTGCGGGCTTGTTGCCTAAATTAGGCTTATAGGCATGTAGACCTTGTTTGATCTGAACGCCAAAGTTTATCATGATGAAGCCCCTCGGGGACTGCGCCTGTCTTAGGTCGTCAGGAGTCACAGACATGAGGCTGGCCAGTGCCTTCTTTAGTCTGCCCCCGATCTTACCCGTCATTGACTGTCCAGTCCAGCGCACAGGGGAAGGGGGTCTTACTCACTCTGATGTGTCTGAGTGAAAGCCTCCCTCTTTCCAGTAAGTTCACTGGCGTTCAGCGGCAGAGGCTGCCGCACTGGTCCTTCTGTTTATCTTGGAGCAAATGACTGTCAGGAAACTGGGAGCCATTCTAGGGTCTCCTCAAGGGTGGGCTGAATCGTGCTAGCGGGTCTCAGAGTAGAGGCCACTCTGAAGGCAGCAGAGCATGAACGTTGTCCCTGAACCCCTAAGATCTCAGGGAGCAGGTCAGACATGACTCCCAAATTTGCTACCCACCATCCAATCCCAGGCCCTGGAGGTGCTGGAGCGGCTGTGCTGGCCCTAGGGACTTGGCATGTGCCTTTGGCAAGCTCAGCTATGGGAACGGCCGCTGTCTGAACCCAGCCCCTGGCAGCCCCTTCCTGCTAGAGGCACCTTTGCAGTGTAATGTCTGCCCTGTCCCTCTGCTGCCCAAGCTACCGTGGCCCAGAGGGGAGGCCATGGTTCCATGAGGACCCTGCTCAGGAGTCTCCTAGAGACATTGGAGGCTACAGAAGCTGCAGCCGCTGTAAAGTGGGAAGAGGAAGGAGGGAAGCCCTGCCCAGGGTGGGAGTCCACGCTCCAGCAAGTTCCCAGCTGTGGCTAAGGAAGAGGCTCTGAGGCTGGCCATGCCCTCGCCCCGCCTTGTCCTGGCGGGCGGAAGGGCGCAGGGTATGCCAGGAGCATCGCCCAGGCTGCTGGCTCGCCTGGTCTGCAATAAGGAGTGTGTGGCTCTGGGACAGTGGCCACGCTTCTGCCTGCACAGTGGGGCTCTCAGGAGCACCTGCTCCGTCACTGGGGGGTGGGGGTGAGGCACAAGGCCATGTGGATGGTTCTTGGCCTGCACCTGATGTCAAATGTGGTGACATTCTCAGATGCTTCGTCCCCAGCTCCATCCCAGACCCCCGCCCCCCCATCCGGCTCGGGTTCCTGGCCTGCCAGATGCTGGGGGGCCGCCCAGCAAGTGACAGTGGAGGTGGTGTGGGAGAGAAAGAGCGTGTGCTGCCGTGAGCCCAGTCCAGGCCAGGCCGGTCAGTCAGGTGCATGAGCAGAGGACTGCCCAGCCCTTCCCAACCCCGCCTGGGCACAAGCATCCCCTTACAGCCACAGCTTTGGGCAGGAGACAGCCAGACTGGTCAGAGACTGCCCTGGCCAGAGGGCTCCGCAGCCCACGGCGTGGCCCACAAAATTTCAGGAGCAGACTGTGTGGTCTCTCCCCTAGGGCCAGTGGGTCTCATTTGACCCCACAGAATGTTCCGGAGGTTCAGGCCAGGACCTTGGGGCAGCGTCCTCAGGTTGCTGCAGGTGCACAGGCACCTGGACTCCCTGGCAGGCGGCCGGGAAGCTGGATCCTGGAAGAGGCTCGATGGCAACATCACGGCCAGCACAAGTTAGCCACATCTCTCTGCTGCTCCCTGCAGAGAAAAAGTGCCGCCAAGCGGCACTTTGTCCACCACGCTGACACTGCTGCCCTTGCTGGCCAACAACCTGGAGAGGCGGGGCATCGCCCTGGACGGGAAAATCAAGCACGAGGACACCAACCTTGCCTCCAGCACCATGTGAGTCCCGAGCCCTGAACTCCATGCAGGCTGTTTCCCCCTCCCCCACCAGCTCACGGGCCACATGACAGCTGGCATTTGGGGTTCAGAGAAAGACTGAGGGGCCCAAGCAGGGACCCCACTCCTGGCCCTGGTGTGACGGGCAAGGCGGTTACAGCTGTGGGCTCTGGAGACAGTGCTGAGCCCCAGTCCCCTCCGCTGTTACCCTCTGGGCCGCCCAGCGCAGCCCTCAAGCTGAGCGCCTCGGCATTCCCACGCACACGGGGGGTGGGGGGTTGGGGTGGGGGGTTGGGGTGGGGGGGGGGAGGGTCTGGAGCGGGGATGACAGTTGGGCCCAGAGAGGTTAGAAGGGTTCCCTGAGACGATCTGGGTGCCCGCCACACACGGGGTACTCCAGGAACGCCAGCTATTCCCACCTGGGTCTAGAACATGAACGATTCCACTCGTGAGCTGGAGACAGCCTGCCCTTAACCAGCCCTCTAACTGGCAGTGACGGAAGGTGTGAAAGGGACGAGACCGGTTAAAATCGAGCCTTCATGATGGGCAACAAGCCCTCGGCATAGGCTGTGACCCTATTTTTTTTAGAGATGCATTTACATAGTTCTGACCATTCCAGACGGGGGTGCTTCCTGTCGTGGGTGACGAGCAGAGAGAGAGCGGAGAAGCCGGGCCTCCCCGCACAGGGTGCCCATACGGGGGTCCCACTCAGGGCTGGTGAGGGAAGGGAGAGGATGGTCAGGGAGCCACCGCCGAAGCAGGCCATCCCCACACCATGACGTGCCTTGAATCCCGTCTCCCCGTCACCTCGCTAAGTGTGGAGTTTCAAATTTGACGGATTTCGGGACCTAATTAGGGCTGTGCTGGTGTCCCCACACATGAGGAGGAAACAGGAGAAATGAGGACAATTAACGGGGTCTTCCAAGTGCCCACTCGGCACCTTGTCCTCAGGGACGCCCACGTGAATTACTTGGGGTCCCGCCTCTGGTTTTCTCGTGTGGGAACCCACCAAATGGGCAGAACTCGTGACAAAGCCTGTCCTTGGCCGAACTCTACTCAGGCTTCTCTTCTCAACAAGGCCCTGCCTTCTGGGCGCCCAGAGTCTCCCTGTTGTCTGATATGAGCAAGAACCTGGCCACGTCAGTTTAGTCGACGCCCCTTTCCCCAAATCTCATCATCCTGATTTCTTTTTTTTTTTTTAAAGACTTATTTAATATGCATACAAGAGCTGGGGTACAGGCCAGAGGTGTGGGGGGTGAGGAGATTCACCAGAGACAGAGTGGGGAGCAGAACAGGCAGACTGCCTGAAACACACTGCTGAGGGGAGCAGCGGGGAGACAGGAGAGGTCTGCTGTGCTGTGTGGGTAGCTCCCTGGCTGGGGATCGAACTCTTGCTGCAGTGGCTGTGGACAGCTTCATAGTGCTGAGTCTTAACCCCTTGTGCCACCAGGGAGGGTCCCCCCATCCCAATATCTAACCCAACTCCTCCCCCACTGCCTCTGCCACTGCCGGGGTCTGGCAGCCCTGACCGCTGTCAGCAAGGATTCTGCTGGGGGTTCAGACAGAGCCCCCCACCCTGACATTTCCTCGTAGTGATTTCCTGCCCAGGGACCCCACCCTGCTCCTGGGCTATAGTCCCCACTTTCCCTTGTTGTACTTGGATCATGCAATCTCTCTCCTACTACAAACCCCCACTGCAGCAGCCACCCCCCGGTCAGGACTCCTTCCCTTTCTCTCAAAAAGAGAAATGTCGGCTGTGTACTTCTGAAGCTGTCACTTGCTAGTGGGGTGCCCTACGCACATAAACTGAATAATGGGTCTGCTGCATTTATTCATCTGTTTATTCCTGTCCATCAGGAAAGGCAAAGATGTTGCTTGCATGTGGATGAAAGTAAGGGCGGCCCATGGGCCCGATCAGAGGCCCCCTGGCCAAGGCCTGCAGATCTAGCAAGGTGGGGGCTTCAAGTAAAACAGTTGTGGCTGCTCCAGGCCAGGCTTGGAGGCTGCGTTCCGGGGGCAGCTCTGCGGGGAGCCCTGAGTATTTGGGGTCCTAGCTGCCACCCCCAAGATGCGCTGCCCCCCGCAGACTACCTCTGACTTTGACCTGTGCCCCTGTAGCCCAGGGCAAGGCTCTCCAGGTGAACAGAGGGACAGCGGACATTCGAACATTCGGCCGAGGGCCGGTGAATGACTCGGGCCGGGGCTGATTCTCCAAGATGGTGCGCTACATTAGAAAGCTGGTTTGGGGAGCCTGGGGCCGGAGGATACCACGGAGACCGATCTGAGGCCCACGTCTCTGAGGGCCTGGAAGCAGTGATGTCCACACGGATGCAGAGCGTCTGCAGAGCGTCTGGGCTCATGGAGCCTTTCGCAGGAGCTGCGCCTGTCCAGGCTTCGGCAGCAGGGCAGGTGGGGCGGAGTGGGGGGCGCTGGAAAACTGGTTTCTGGCCACCGAGCAGGTGGGTGAGCACCCGAGGCGGAGCGGTGAGACGGGAAGCATGCGGTGCCCTCTGAGCTTCCAAAGGGAAGTTCAAACAACGCAGCAGGAAGGGCTGCCCTCTGCCCTGAGCTGGGCAAGGTGTAGGACTTGGACAGCTGGCCGGGCTTCCCCCAGGAGACGCCCGGGGTGCACGCCTGCCCGAAGGTGGGGGCTGCCTCCCCCTGGCCGCTCCCCGCTAGCCCCCTGCATCCGCCTCCCTTTCCTTTCTGTTTGAGCAGCCTGAAGGAGGGCATCGACCGCACTGTCCTGGGGATCCTGGTGTCTTACCAGATCAAGGTGAAGCTCACGGTGTCGGGGTGAGTGTCTGACCCCACAGCCTGTCTGCTCTGTGTTAGCTCCAGCAGGTGCATTTCCTGGGTCATTCCTGGAATGACTTCCAGACAGAAAACCAGAAAGGCCCCTGATTCCGCTGACTTTGGAAGAGACTGTTTGCCGATAGGACATCTGTGGAAATGGTAGAAATGGAGATTCCAAAATATGTGCACCCGTAGGTCCACTTGACTAGAGTGCGTGCGTGTGTGCGCGCTTGCGTGCCCACCTGGTGGGAGCTGAGCAGCAAGAAAGAAAAAACAGCAACACCATAGTGTAGGTGGGGGAAGGCTGGCGGCTCTCAGGCGGCCTCTGGGCCAGCGTCACTCACCAGCTCGTCAGGAGGCTTGTTCCTCCCCACACGTGACGTGACATCCAGAGACCACGCGGGAGCGGGGCCAGCCCCGAATTCCAAGGAAACGATTTTCCATTTTCTCTGACAGGAACGTCTTCCCTTTCAAAGATCTCACCGGAAGGGAACGGTTCCCAAAGCCCTGCGACCTCCTGCCCCCGGGTGCCCAGCCCCCCAGGCAGCCCCACTGGCCTGCCCCTGACTCTGAGCAGACACAGGCGCCCCACATTTTTCTTGGGGAGTCACAAAGTAGAACATGGGTCTGTTTTACCAATTTTGTTAATGTTTTTGTTGTGCTTTCTGAAGTGTGTGCGTCTTCTTGCCTCCCCTCCTCCCGCCGCCACCCCCCACCCCCGCCCCGCGTCTAAAAGAGAGAGATGTTAGTTCAGTCCAGGGGAACACGTGCGCCACCACCGCTGCGACCCCGAAACTGCTCCTGTTTACTCTCGAGCAGTGGGACGTAACCCCAGTGATTGTTCTTCTTCTTTTTTTAATCAAGTTTATGTAATTTTTTTTAAAGATTTATTTATTTATGCATACAAGAGCTGGGGTGCAGGCCAGAGATGCGGGGGGTGAGAGGATTCACCAGAGACAGAGTGGGGAGCAGAATAGGCAGACCGACTGTAATACACTGCTGAGGGGGGCAGCCGGGAGACAGGAGAGGTCTGCCGCACCATGTGGGTTTCTCCCTGGCTGGCTGGGATTGAACTCGTGCTGCAGAGGCTGCAGATTGCTTCATAGTGCGGTGATTAACCCCTTGCGCCACCAGGATTGTTCTTTTTAACTGGTGCCTGCGAGGAAGGAATGAAGTTGCAGGCACGGAGGGTTGAGGTCCCGAGAGCTGCAGGCGGAGCCATGCTGCCTCTGTGTGACGGGGGTGCGCTCGGGTCGCTATCCTGGGCAGTGACTTGGCATCTTTGCTTTTGCTTCCTAGCTTCCTGGGAGAGCTCACCTCCAGGTAAGCGTCTTCACCTTCTCTGCTGGAGTCCCAGGGTGTCAAAGGGAACCAAACAGTGACAGAGAAATTGACTTCTGGCAGCAGTGCCCCGGGTGTGAGGAAGCCAAGCCCGCTGCCTTTGGCTGCGTGTGCAAACCATGGCTGAAAGGTGTGAGGCTGGGGTGTTCCTTTGAGGCTATAGCTGGGCCTACACTTGGACAAGGACACACAAACACACACATACACATACTCTGGGAACTGGCACATTCTTGGTAGCTGCCTTTGGGGTGTGTATGGTAAAATACACATGTCACTCATTTTGCCATTTCATCATTTTAGTGGAGAATTCAGTGGCATCAAGTTCACTGGTAAATGCACAGCCTGAATCACTATGATCTTGCTCAGTATATTTTTACTTTTTTTTTTTTTTAAGATTTATTTATTTATACAAGAACTGGGATACAGGCCAGATGCATGGGAGGGTGAGAGAATTCACCAGAAACAGAGCAGGGAGCAGAACAGGCAGACAGACTGAAGACACTGCTGAGGGGAGCAGCAGGGAGACAGGAGAGGTCTGCTGCGCCATGTGGGGATCTCCCTGCCGGCTGGGAATTGAACCTGTGCTGCAGAGGCCATGGACAGCTTCACAGTGCTGCGCTCAACCCACTGTGCCACCGGAGAGGCCCTCCAGTATATTTTTACAATCCCAGGAAACCCATGCTCCTGAAGGAGTGTCTCTGCTCTTCCTTCTTCCATGGAAATTTCTAAGTTGCTTCCTATCTCAACAGCCTTGCCCATTCTGGACATTTATATATAGGGACTCAGACAAGATTTGACCTTTTGTGACTGGCTTTTTCTCTTAGTATGTTTTCCAGGTTCTTTCAGATTGTAGCATGAGTCAGTTCTTTGTTCCTCTTTATGGCTGCATAATATTCCACCACGTGTGTGTTGCTTATCTGCTCTTCAGATAGTGGCCATTTGGGTTGTTTCCCCCTTTGGGCTATTGTGATTAGTGCCGCTGCCTTTGAAATCGTGCACAAAGAAGCAGCAGCAGCCCCAAGAAACACTCAAAGCCTTGACCTCACACCCTTTCTCACCCTGACTCTCCTCTTTTCTTCCTTTACCTGGAGTCTGGATCTGCCTTTTCTCCAAGAGCCTATTTTTTATCCTTTCTCCAGGAGGTCAATTTTCTACCCACAGTATCTCCTCACTGCAACTAATAGGCAGAAGGAGGGGACCTAAGATCCCCCTAAGCCTAATAATAGCCCCCTGGGCTCAGCCACCCCAGCAATGTTTCTGGACCACATTTCAGGGGATACACTTAAAATTCCTGCTTAACCGCATCCTGATTTCTGGTTGGTTTGGTTGGTTTTGAATCTTGCCGCGTCTTCTCTCCGCCTGGCCTGGGGCCCTTGGCACGTGTCTGCGGCCGTGGCTGGTGGCTATGGACGCATAATTGTCTGAGTTCTCACCCACCGGGGTCTGCTTTCTGCTTTTTTCTTTTCTTTTTTTTTTTTTTTTTAATAGAGGCATGCTTTTATTTATTTGTTTGCTGGTTTGTTTGTTTTGTTTATACATGCACTGGGTACAGTCAGAAGCGTGGGAGGGTGAGAGAATTCACCAGAGCCAGAGCGGGGAGCAGAGCAGGCAGAAGGACCGAAACACACTGCTGAGGGGAGCAGCGGGCGGCAGGAGAGGACTGCGCGCCATGTGGGACCCTCCTCCGGTGGCCGGGGAGCAGCCGGGGATCGAACCGGCGCCGCAGAGGCCGGGGGCAGCTTCACAACCCAGCGCTCAACCGCTGCGCCACCAGGGAGGCCCATGCTTTCTGCTTTTTTCTAGTGAAGTGGCCACGGAGGTGCCGTTCCGCCTCATGCACCCCCAGCCCGACGACCCAGGTCAGTCACGTCCAGTGTTTGTGCATTTCGGGGGGTTGCCGGCCCTGTCTGGGAGAACGGGCGTGGCCAGGCCCTCACACCAGGCCATCCCAGATGCCCGCAGGCCGGGAAGCAGGCTCAGGTGCCCAGCAGCAGGGGTGGGGGGGGTATAGGGGAGGTGCCCTGGCTGGCCTGCCTCCAGCAAGCAGGCTGAGGAGGTGCCCCTGCTTTTGACCACCGCTGCCCCGTTCCACTTTATCGGGAATGATTCAAAGCCAGGAGCTTGCCATGAACAGACTTGGGTTTAGATTTGCAGATCATTTAGGTGAAAAACAAAATCGAGAGCCCCAGGCTTCTGCATTCATTGGGAAACATCAACAGGTATTTAGAAGGTGGTGAGTACTGTTGACGGGGCAACTGTGAGGATAACACAGAAAACACTAGAAAGTGAGTGGGCTGGGCTCCTGGCACTGTGACCTTACTGGCTCTTGGGCTGTTGGAAGTCTGCGGTGTGATGGGGGTGCAACCCCGAGTCTGCCCCTGCCGGGCCCTGTCGGCGAGACCTGCAGGCTCTGGACCAGCTCTGTGAGAACAGAGCTGGGGCGCAACGTGATGCAGGCACAGCCCTGGAGACTTTTTTTAATCTCCGACTCCATGTATATTTGCTTCCCTGCCCCCCACCAAGTTCTCTGGCTCCGTCTTGCTGACCCCCTTAGCCATGGACGACCCCCCTCTCCTTCCGTCCAGTCATCACTATATTTTTCACAGAGCACAGGAGCTCTTTTTACTGCTTGTTTTGCCAAATCATTTTATTTACTTATATTCTACAAGTGAGTGACACCATCCAGGAGCTTTCTTTCATTTCTGACTTATTTTGCTTTGCGTTATCACCCCAAGTTCCATCCCTGTTGTCCCCAAAGGCAAGATTTCATCTCTTACAATAGCTGAGCAGTTCCGCTGCGTATGCAGACCATGTCTTTCTCCAGCCGCCTAGCCAAGGGCCTATAGGCTGGTTCCGTGTCTTGGCTGCTGTGAACACGGGGCACGCAGTTTTCAAATTAGTGTTTTCACTTTCTTAGGATGAATTCCTAGGAGAGGCACTTCTGGGCCATTCTTCATGTTTGTTTGTTTGTTTGTTTAAGATTTATTTTATTTATTTATGCATACAAGAACGGGGATGCAGGCCAGAGGTGCAGGGGCGAGAGGATGTACCAGAGACAGAGTGGGGAGCAGAACAGGCCGATCTACTGAAATCCACTGCTGAGGGGAGCAGCGGGTGTGACAGGAGAGGTCTGCCGCGCCATGTGGGTAGCTCCCTGGCTGGGGATGGAACTCAGGCTTCAGTGGTGATAACGTTGAGACCTAACGCCTAGGCCACTGGGGAGGCCCCATCTTTAGTTTTTTAAGGAATCTCCATGCCTTTTCCATAGAGGCCGCGCCAACACCACCACCACAGAGATTCTTTTTCTCCTCTTCCTCAGTGCCCCTTGTGCTCTTTTGATACCCGCTGTGTAGTCCACAGTGCACTGTGCTTTTGATTTCATTGAACTTTGAGGGAATATTCTTCACTGTGTGTTAAGGTGGCTTAGTTAATCAGAAAGAAAATCGGGCTTGTCTAAAGGAGAAGCCTCCACAGTTAGAAAATAAAGACTATTTTAAGGAAAAGCGGTGAGAACCAGCAGGGTTTTCTCAGACTTTATAAATAGCTTCTCTGTATTGATAACAAAATGACATTTAAACATTGAGTCAACCACCACATTCATTTTGAGCTTTGTCTCAAAAATATTTTGTTTCAAAGTATCTTTTCCAAATATTTTGGACTCATGTCCTCCATGTGCTTTGCCAAAACCTCCCCCCAAGGGAAAATAGTCTAGCCATATTTTTTATATTAATTTATGCTTGTATCATTAAAATAACTCCTTTTTAACTACGTGAGATGGAGCTGCACTCTGGACATTTTTCAAGGACGTTTGAAAAGCCCGGCCTGAAGACGTCATGATAATTTACGCTGGGCTGCCTCCTGAGCGGGGCGGACCAGGCTTCCCTCAGGGGCAGTGGAGCTGCCCCTTGGCTGGGGTCGTCATTTCTCTGTTCCCATCGCGCGGCCCTTCCTCTGGACCTGTCCCAGCCTCCACACTAAACAGTGATCTTTTGTACGGTGAGATTTCAAGGAGAAAGGACAAATCATCCTGGACCCTGACAGTCCAAATTCAGAGATTTCTTAGTTACCAAGTTGCGTTCACCTGCACAAGACACACCTACATGTTTGCACACAACACAAGTAGGGGCATCTTCCTCTCACCTGCTTCGTTCCTGGCCCCCCAGTCTAGCTGGGTGGATTCCAAGCAGAGCCAGTGTAAGTTGTAGTTAAGTGGCCCCCAGGCCAGGGCCCAGGGGCTTGTGTGTTGTGACACGTGCTGCGAAACGCCACCAGCCTCCCTCCCCCCCCCATCTCCCCACGCCAGGGTCTCCAGGCCTGAGGAAGGGTGTTGTCTACTCCCTGCCTTGTTGTGGCTGTTGCTCCCTGTTAATGTGATATTTATGCTTAGCACTTGGGGGTCTAGGAGGGTCTTACCCAGCGGATGTTTTGGTGAGTGGTTAGGGCTCCCTAATGGACACCCCGCATTGCTGGCTTGCAGGGGTCCCAAGAGACAAAAGTAGTGACTCGCCATCACTGACTTCCTCTTGGCCCATCCCCGGAGGGGCTATGCCAGTACCTTCCTGGTGGGCAGAAAGCCATAAAAGAATAAAAAACCCACTCAGACTAAGAGCCATGAACATGGGGGTGCAAACATAGACCAAAACACAACCCAACCAAAAAAGAGATCAATCTGTTGGCAGAGAAATCAAATTGCGGGGGGAGTAGTTCTCAAGTTGGTGCACACCCTAACCACTGGGTGCTGGTCAGGCACCCCAGGGCTCACCCCTCAAGAGACTGCCAGGGAGGGGGCCCCGGTGTGGGGCACAGCAACACCTGTGGATTCTGCTCTAGATGGATCCAAAGAACACATGGAGAGAAACACTTTGAAAAGAGAAGGGAGACAGCTGGGGGCACGAGGCTCATCAGGCTCCAGGGGTGGGGATGGCCTCCTGGCCTTTGAGCAGGTGAGGGTCACCCTTTCTTAAAGGGTGTGATGGCCAGACATGCAGGGACAACTCTGAGGGAGAGGAAAGGAGCAGGCTGCATGGGCTGGGGTCCGTCCTCTCCCCCTCACCACCCACAGCGCCTAGTCACCTCAGCAGGGAGGGCATTTTCCAGGGATGGCTGTTGCCCAGAACCTGTGCTAATAGGTGTCTCTCTCCTCTTTGTTCCCGCTGCAGCAATGGCAAAGGAAAGGTGAGCGCTTGGATGCTGTCTGGGGGTGGGCTGAGGCGTCCTCCTCTGGCGCGCACCCCCTGGGGTCGTTTCGAACATGCCCCATCGCTCAATGTGGGCGCAGGCCTGTGTGCCTTCTGCTCCCTAGTGCCGGGGCATGCACGCATAGGCCCACCATCCATGCACACACGCACAGCATGCATGATGCGGCACAAAGTGCACACACATGTGCACAGGCATGCGCACACATGCACATACAGGCACGTGTGCACACCACACATGCAAACACAGGCACACCAGAAGGTGCAGAGACATGTTTGCACATGTCAACACACATGCACACATGTGTACACACATGCACACACAGGCACTGTGCCGCACAGATGCAGACATCTGCACCCACATGCACCCACAAGGCTCTTGCCTCACATGCACACATGTGCACCCTTGCACGCACACAGACTGGGTACACACGCCTGCTCTGCGGTTCTCCCATTTCCTCTCGCTTTTGTTTGCTCCTGAGGAAAATGGCACGAACCGTGTCCCAGCCCAGGGGTCGGCTCCTCTGCTGCGAAAGGAAGATTAAGCTTGTTTCACTGGAGATTTTCATTTCAAGCTTCAAAGCGCGTGCCGTGATCAAAATGTTCTGTTTAATTTTAGATTTAAGGATGAAAATTTGGTGTTTGAGGAGTTTGGTCGTCAGAATCTGAGAGATGCCCCCGAGTACGAGGAAGGAAAGAAAGTGGAGGCCACGGATGAGGGATGAGGCGCCCGCACCCTGGGAGGGGGGCGGGGGGGGCGGGGGATCTGGCCATGTGACCGCAGCCATGTACACTAGTGTGTCTGCTCCACGGAAATAAAGCTTGTCCCTTCCTCCCTGCCTGTGGTTCGGGCGACTTGTTGTGAGGCTCAGTTTTGTCGCCGACAAAGGAGCTGCAGCTTGGGGTGGGGGCAGGCCGCGCCTAGAAAGGAGGCTGGCCTTCCAGAGACCATCAGGGCGAGAAGGTCTCCCCGAACCAATGTGCTCACCCGGTGGCGCTGGTGTGTCCTGGGCCTTCCCCAGGGGTCCCGCATCAACTGGTTTCCTGGGAGCTTATGGCTAAATGGGGGGCTCTTTCTAACAACCTGACCAACCCTGGCTTCAGGGCCCCCAAAGCGCCTCCTGAGATAAAATGGAGTAGCCCACAGTGGAGGCAGAAACACTTTCTCACTGATTCAACTATTGGGGCCAGGACCCCGTTTGAGCTCTGGTGGTGAAGTTTCTACTGGACGAAAGCGATGAATCAGGTGTGGCTATTTTAAGGCGGGGAGGGGATATACTGGAAGACCCCCAATGGCTCAGAGAACTGACTCAAAGGGAGATGCAGAGTGGCCACTCCTGGGAGGGCAGACATCAGAGAAGCGCCAGAGGCCCCGGCCTGCAGCTCAGGGGCCCAGCCTCTGGGCAGCTGTTCAGCTAAGGCGGCCACTTGGCCCCAGATTCTTGCAGGCTCTGGTGTGGGCCTGGGCAGGAGGGTCTGCTGGTCTAGCTTCAGCCAGGAGCTTCCATGCCCTGTGGCCAGCGGTGGCAGGGCTCAGCCTGAGGGCTGGGGTGTCCCAGAAGGGGGCTCATCATGAGTTGGACAGGCTTCTTGGTGAGTGTCTTTGTCTAAATGGGGCCCAGCAGGGGTGGGGAGAGCATGCTCAGCGTCAGGCGGGAGGTGGGTTACAAAGGAGATGCCCATGCTGTGCCCTTCAAAGAATCACCTCCCTGGCCAGGCTGCCCACCAGCCTGCCAGCTGCTGCTGATGACAGAGTCAAAGGCCCTCCGGGTGAGCTGGAGGGGCTAAGGGGTATGCAGGCTCTGGCCCATGCTTCTGGGGGGCAGGAATAAGTGGGACTGAGGAGCTGCATACTTCAACCCACTAACTCAAGTGGAGAGGCTGACGAGGGAGGTCCTCAGTGGGCGGGGTCTCCCGGACCAAGAATGCTGGCAGAGGCCGGGACAGCGGTTCGCACTCCATGCACGGGGGCCTCTAGCATCCGGGGTGTGGGTCAGGATTCCAGGCTGGTGTGTGTCCTGGGAACTGCAATTTAGTCTAGTGGCTCCACTTGGGAACCTTAGCAGGTCTGATAAAGCAAAGTTTGTACTCCTATGTTGAGTGTGAGACATTTGCTATTGGAGGGGATGAGAATTCATTTCTGGATGAGTGATGACGGTGAGGATGGCGATGATACAGGCAGAAGGTGAGGCCTTTGGTCTGGGGGTTTGCAGGTCAGTTTCTCACTCATTTTTCTCCCAGGCTAAGGGGACAGCACGTTCTCTCTCCAGCCCATGCCCCTCTCTCTCCAGGCACCCAGGAAAAGGGGTGAGCAAGTAGCATGCTACTCTGGATCTGAGCTCGTCCTGACCACACCCCTCCTAGGCCCCCCTGGTTGCCTTCTGCTGGAGAGCTGGGCAGGCCAGGTCCTGGGAGTTTGCCCTGCAGGGGCAGCGAGAGGAGCCTCCAATCAGTTCCTGCATTGCTTGACCCCAGGACATCCTAAGTCAGGGTGGACATGAATAGGCCTGACCTTTGGAACTGAGTGGGTGGGAGAGCCAGAGAGAAGCCACCAGGCTGGTGGGCAGCCTGGCCAGGGAGGCGATTCCTTGAAGGGCACAGCACGGGCATCTCCTTTGCAACCCACCTCCCGCCTGACGCTGAGCATGCTCTCCCCACCCCTGCTGGGCCCCATCTAGACAAAGACACTCATCAAGAAGCCTGTCCAACTCATAGTATCCAGGGGACAGAGCAGCCCTTGCCTGCCAGGTTAGTTTGGTGCCAAAGCACCCAACTCACAGACATCAGGTGCTGGCTAGTTTATGCCTATAGCTGGCCACCCTCCAGAGGCGGCAGGAGATCGGGGGTAGCAGAGGGAAGGAAGTAAGCAGCCCCCAGTGGGATGTGGCTCCTTGGCTTGGCTGGGCCCCAACCACTAGTGGCCTCACATGTGCTAGCATGTAGATCCACGTTGGGAGTTGGGATCCGTCTGCACACTGGACATGCGTCCCAGGGGGTACCAGGTAGGTGCAGTGGGGAAAATGGTACATGAAGCACTTGAGGGTGCTGCATGGAAAAAGTGGTGGCTGAGAAGGCCTGGAGATGCACGGGTCCCACAATTTATTGAGCACCTTCCCTGCTATCTGTTACACCTCCTCACTCCAACATCTGTTGTCCGATTAGTAAGATGTGCAAACCCCAGATCAGAGAGACTGTGTACCTTACCCAAGGTCACACGGCTAGGGAGAGGCGGAGTGGAGACTTGAACTCTGGCTTCCCAGACCTTTGCTCGCTGTCTAACACTGAGTAAGTGTGTAAGAGGCAGGCCGGGCAGAGGAGGAGGCCCCCCTCTACTATTGGAGGATGGGCTTTGAGTTCCTTGCCTGCACTGGAGATTTCCTTGAGCAAATGGCAGATTCACAGCCAGTTGTCAAAAGCAGTACAGACAAAGTCTGTATTTCCCCCAAGGGTAACAGCTTGCAAAACTGTAGTGCAAATCCAGCTGTAGAACTGAAGCTCCCAGAAGGGGAGTTGGGGGAGAGGAGCAAAGGGGGAGGGGACCTAAAGGGCTGTGCTGGAAGATCAGGGGCCTGGGTGGTAGATGTGGTGTGATCATATACATCTGAGGAGGTATGACCCTGTACCCCAAAATCACACACTGCAAGCCACTGTTACTTCAATGAAAATAAAGAAACAAACCACTAGATACTGACTTTGGTACAATCTGCCCTTATTGACTGTTAGACACGCGTATTTAGTTTGCAGCTGTTGGATCCCATGTTAACTTCCTTCTAGAATGTCTGTCTTCCTGTTCCCTTAACACTTTTCGTGGCCCTCCCCCCAGACTCACTTCACAGCCCTGCATGGTCTCGTACTGATCCAGGGGTGGGGTGGAGGAGGGCAGTTAGGTGCACTTGGAAACGTAAGGGGTGGCTTGGGGTTGTCACAACGCCTCAGGCCAGGGACACTGTGTCACCCACAGTGAAGGCGTGTCCCCTTGCAAATGTCCATCAGCAGCAGAGATCTGCAGCCAAGATCTGGTGCAAGTAGATCATTCTGCTGTCCAACCTCTCCATCTCGCTGCCTGAGGGGTTCATTCTGCCAGGAGGTGCCCTGTGCTGAGCAGGATTAGGTGGGATGTGACGTGTGTTATTACTGCCACCTCGAGATGCCCTTAAGGTGGGGTAACCTTGGGGAGCAGCATGTTGTTAGAGATGATTCACGGGTGACTCACCCCATGAAGAGGCGCCCGCGGGGATGTGCTCTGACAGGCCAGTTCCTGGGGGAGGATCTCCAGGGAACAGGCAGAACAGAACAGAGGCCGAGCCTGGTGAGGAAAAGGGGCCGCATCACGGCTCTGATTTCAGAACACAAAATCATTCTCTCAGACCTAATACCTTTTCCAAAAATCCACCTATTTTTAAACAGTTTTAGATTTACAGACGTTTCAGAGTTATACAAAAGCGACAGGACAGAGCCCTCTGCCCACACCTCCCCAGCCCCAAGTCTCCCCGTTAAGTTCTCTCCCTGAAAGGGGTGGGGTCTTTCTGCATGAGTCAATATTGACACAGCCACTGGGTTTTGAGCAAACCCAGCTGGAGGTGCCTGGTTCGAGGTGCTGCGGCCTACACCTGTTGCCTATCCTGTTAGAAGCTCTAAGCAGCCAGGATGGGGATCATGTGGATCAAGTTCAAATCTGCATTCCTCGGGCAAGCGAGGTCTCTGGATGGCAGCTTGCAGGCATCCTTCCAGAATGAGGCCCTGGAGCTTGCTCGGTGAGGACCAGGACTGATGGTTCTAGGACTGATGGTTCTAGCGGTGCTGGAGGGGTCAGGTCCATGCTGCAGGACTTTCTGTGTCCTCTGTCCTGGCTGTGTCCATCCCCCTGGTCATGTCCCCATGCTAGATGCTTCTCTGTGGCTCCTGGGGGTCTTGCACTTGGCTACCCCTTCCAGGTGGCATCAAGCCTTTCTCCAGCCCAGTGCCCCACAAACTCAATTGATCTCACGGCCAACTGTGCTCCCCTCTCCCCATTGAAGGGCTCCAGGCACCTGCTCACAATGCCACCATGCTGCTGCTCCAGGTGGAAAAGCCCAGCCCACCCCAGAAGATCTGCTTCCCTCCTGCAGATGGCCCCTCTGGGAGTCCACTCTGCCATCTCCAAAGCACCTCCCAGTAATCCAGGTGCCACCTGCCATGATTAGGCACAGTGGGGATCCCAGTTCTTAGTTTTGTCACTCAGCCACGCCCCAGTTAAAATTTCTGGAGGGCTTCCCCTAGCTCTCAGGAGTCAGGGTGAAGGCACCACCCCCTAATCAGCTCCGCAAAGTCCAGTCTGACCTGCGAACCCCCAGGCTCAGCCCTCTTCCTGCTGTCTTCCTCCCGGTGCCTGTCTGCTCTTCTCTGCAGGCTTGCTCTCTCTCCTCCAGGCCTTTGCACTACGCCTAGAAGACCCTCCTGCTTAGGGGGCACTCCTGCTTGGGGGGCACTCCTGCTTAGGGGGGCTCCTGCTTGGGGGACACTCCTGCTTGGGGGGCACTCCTCCTTGGGGGGCGCTCCTGCTTGGGGGGCACTCCTGCTTGGGGGGCGCTCCTGCTTGGGGGACATTCCTTCTTGGGGGGCGCTCCTGCTTGGGGGGCACTCCTGGGCACACTTCCTCTCCTTCCTTGAACGCCTTTTCCTCCAGGCGCCTCCCAGAAGGAGTCGTGTGTCCCTGTCCCGGCACCCCAGACGCCCAGCCACGTCC